CTGTATTTGTTTGACCTTATTCTTCATAAAATGTTATGATAGTTAATCTATGATCTATGATCTATGAATATTTTGATACGAATTAAATTTATTATTTTCCAGTAGAGTCCCATTGTGCAAAGCACGCTTTTCGAGTGTGTGTCTTCAGCTCAATGCAAAAAAAACGGAAAAGAAATACAAAAGAGGTGAAAGGTGAAGTGGGGAGTGCAAAGTGGAAGGCAGAAAGACTTGTTTTATAAATGAAAATTCATTGAAAACTGATAGCGTGTGAAAAATAAACCAAACGAAAAGTCTGTATAAATATGAAGTGTCACTGGTGGAATATATCGAATGACGCAGATGCGCTACTAAAAATTATAGATACCAAAAATGAGACAAAAAGTATATCATTATATGAAATACATAAATATATTTTTAAAAGCCTAGGACATTTAATTGGTTGTTATGTTAGAAATAAAATATAACTTTTATTATTAGACGCAATGTTTATTATAAAGCTTTTTAGAATATTTAATTTCTTAGTTATTTCGGAAATATTATGAAAAGAGTATTCAAATGTGATCAAAATCTTTAATATATTGTGAAAGCCGCTTTGATATCTCTTTTATTGGCGAATATATGTCAACTAGTGTTTGGCAAACTTTTCATTCCGCCAAGCTTTTTGCGTCACACAATTTTTCCAGGGGCAATTAGCAGCAGAAGCTAAAGCTCGATTTGTTTGCCATCCATAACCCGGAAAGACACTAATTAAAACAAATTGACGGATTTACAAGCAATGTTGAATGGAAGCCATTCATATATTTTTTTAAACTAAAAATGAAAACAAGAAGAACGTTATTTGTATGTATTTAAGTATCCCGAAAAGGTATCGTGCTGAAAATGTATGTTCCATGAAATAGATCAAATCCTTTGAAATACATGAAATAAATAGCAATAGATGTTAAATGGAATTACAAATATCATTCGATTTCGGTTCTTTCAAACAGCCGACCAAAATTGACTTTAAAATAAAACGAAAACGGGCTTAACTGGGTTAATACGAGTCGAAAACTAAAAATAAATTTTAAAAAAGTGCAAAAACTTTTAAAAAACCTTTTAAAATTATCTTTGTGTACAAAAAAAAAGGTTTTTGGCATTTTTGTGATACATCAATCGCTTGGAAGCGTTTAGTAGATATTATTTTGTAAACTTTATTTAAGGTCCATCTTTGAGCATTTCTTTAATATTTATTAAATTACAACGGAAACCATTTATGCACTTATCGATTTTCCTCAGATTTTTTATTTGCTAGCCTACGCTTGGCAAAATAATATTAGCGTAGAACTTTTTCAGAAGACTTCAAAATTTAGTGACCATCCATGGACTCATAATTTAAATTCATTTATGCATTATTTCCGCGAACCACCATTTTGCGGGAAATAATAATTTAATTAGCTCAAACTACGACGGTGGCAGAGGAGGACGAGTATCAGAGTCCCCTGAACAAAATTTTGTATGCATATCAGAAATACCAATTACTATATGGCAACATTTTACTGTCCCCAAAGCCCGTTCCAACCCTTATTTGAATTTCATCTTCATGCACTAGCCATACAACGATCCGAGTGTGTGGCTCTGTGCGCTGGCATTTTCAATGGTGCTCAGGCATTAACGTTCAAAAGTCAATTAGTGGTTTTTATAAATGTGATTAAATTAAGTGACAGTGTTGTTTACTGTTTTTCGCTTTTTGGCTATTAGCTTCATTTTAATTGGGCTAACATCGCATTGAAAATTGGCTAACAGGGTAAGGGTACAGGGGTATTGCCCTTGTATTGTGCAGGTATATTGGATAATTTAACTGTCACTGACTGAAGCCCATCAAGAGAGTGCAAAGGGGTCTAATACATAGAAAATTTGCAAATCCGAAAGTCTTTTAAATTTCGCATTTCTGATAAGGTGGCATAGGGTATGGTCTTTAGGGTAGTTAGTAAAACTATCCATTAAAACTATTAGGTAAAAACATGCAACGAAAAAAGCACACGTGATTTTGGAAACGAAAACGTAATTTTCTTCCTGTAGGTTCTGAAGAATTCACGCAACATCGAAGAAATTTTTCTCGTTAATTTCGTCGTGAATCTTTTTTTCTAGGCATTTTCAAATTTATTGTTAAGTCGGCCTTTTGAAGGCCTAAAAAAATTGCCTTAGTGTAGAAGATCGTGGATCCTCACACTGGGCGAGTTATTGGTTTTAGTTTTCAACTAGCAATAATCGCAGCTCAGTTGAAACTTCATAGCTTACGATATTGCCACTGCACAAGGTTGGTGATAAATTAAAGTAAATTTTTAAGAACCTCTAGATGAAGAATGCTTGAACAGCTTGGGAATTATAAGTGCAAATATACCGAAAGGATGTGTTCAACTAGACAACAAAGCTTTGCCAGAAACCAGTTGCCAATATGTACCCCCTTAAGTTAAGTGACCAACTTCAATCGCATCGCTCCTGGTGTAAGTGAGTATTGAAATTCTTGACAAGGGCTGGAACTGGTTTTCCCAGCTATTGCATTTTTATGACCTTCTGAGCTTTTTGCTCTATTTCCATCTACTTCAATGAAGAGCGTTGCCCGCATCGAACCCGCAGCTCAACCTCAGCAACTCACCCCTCGGGACCAACATAAAATCGAATAGAATGGAAATGGCAGCTGCAGTGAAAGGGTCAACTGCTTGCCTGCGTCCGGGTCAGATACTTGGATTATGCGAGTTAAGCCGCTTGCCCGCAAACCGGCCAAATTGTAAGCTTTAAGGCAGGCTTCTACCGATTTCGCCTTAAAGTTAAGAGCCACTCAACACATCAAGGTTCCATCTCAGAAAGTCCTGCATCTCCACGGACTTTCGAGACCCCGGACACAGGACGAAACTGAAAGCCGACGATTAACAAACGACTCCGTTGGCCCGCGAAATGGCCAAGCATTGCGTTTTGTAATTTAAATGGCCCTTTTATGGTGGCGGCCATAAAATGTACAAATAAGGGTTAATTATGCCCCGGTAGTTGACGCCAAGCATGCCAACATAAGATGCCCAAATTTGTGGGTGGCAATTGGGTCACGGGAATGTAAATAAGTGTGAATTTAAACGAATTATATGTCAGACTCTGCTTGAAATTAAAGAGTCTGAAGAAGACAGGAAGGTTGTATACAAGATACTCACAACGCAAAGATGTTTGCCATCAATTTAGATATTTTATAAATTTATTAAATATTTTTTAGTAAAAAAACTGCTAATTTAAAAAAAAAATAGACATTAAAGAATTTAAAAATATTTATTAAAAAAAATTGCATTTATTTTGGCTTGTTGAGAAAATAATTGAAATATTTGCAAGTTAGTAGTAGTAAGTAGTAAGCTCCCTTAAAAATGAAAAAAAAAGTTAATACACAAAACAATTTTAAGTTTTAATAAATAGTTAAAAGATATTTTATATTTTATCTTTCAATTAAAAAAATGTTTAACCTTATGAAGAAAGAATTTTTTTCTGCAGGATGCCTTAAAATATAGCCGTTCATTATATTGAGCTTATAGCACTAACAGCGAACAAATCATTTAACACACAACTTTCTCAGCTTCTGTCAAATGTGACAGGCCCACCAGCTTATTAACCCTTGTCAGCCACGCCCCCGGTAACAATTCACTAAACGGATGTTGGCAATGTATACACGGCAAAGGCAACAACTACAACATGGCAAACAAAAGCTTCCCTTTTCTAAAAAAAAAGGAAGAGAACACCATAAAAAGCAGACTCACTCGATTGCCTCATCGACGAACCGGAAACAATTGACTCGATTACCCGGCAAACAAAAACAACTTGCCAACATAAACATGACAGACCAATAAAAGTAACAAAAAAAAGGGCAACAAAAAAACCACACAAAAACATTGTGAGAAGTGCAAAGAGTGCGTGTGAATGGATGTCGAACGGTCGGGGACTTGGGTTAAATGTGGGTCGAGCTCTGTTTAGTTTCCGGAGTCTTTCACACTAGATTTCGCCCCATTGCTCTAAGGACTTTTTTGACAGGGTTTTCTGATTGTTTTGATTTGAATAAATGTGTTTGATTCCCCTTCCCTTATTTTGACTTCATTGGGCGAATTGTTTACGCTGTTGCGAATGTTTAAACCACATTGTACTATTTGTATTATTGTTGTTTATGCCACAATTCACTCTTTATTCAAGTTTCAAAAAAAATTTCTAAAAAACCGCAAATTGTTTTATTGGCTGTGTACTTTTTTGGCGGATAAAATATTAATTGGTATTTATGGGTTGATAGCAGGGACGTAGGCAGGAGCCCCAACACTTTTCCCCTCTTACCCTCTTCTCTCGGTTGAAAACCTATGCAAAATATAACTTTCAAAAGTATGCTACACATAATTTTTTACCCCTCAACCAAATCCTGGCTACGCCACTGGTTGCCATGCATTTATCGCACACATAAGAACACTAGGGCGGTCCAAAAAATAAAATTCTTTTTCTCCCCCTTCACATGGTAAATGTGGAAAATAAACTTCTTTTTGATTTAGACGTGCGAAAGTTTTTATAAAAATTACTCATACGACACGTACGACAGTTTGAATTTTTATCGATAAAAATCGTTCTCCCATTTCTAGTCCTGTCAAAAAATATGGAATAAATGGTTACAAAAGGAGAAAAAAATATCAAATAAATGGTTGAAATCTACGACATCTCGAATAAAAAACTTTTCGATCTAAGGTGACAGTGCGTATGAGTAATACACCTTGAAGACAATTCACAGACCATTAATAAACCTCATTCTCATGTTCCCTTAAAAAATCTTTCGTAAGTAAAAGGAATAGAAGATTCGATTTCAATAAATCACATCCTGGCTGAATTTTGTACAACTTCCATATTTTATCCTTCCAAAAAAAAATTGTAAGTTAAAAAAATTTTAAAAATCTTATCGCTCCTTTTTTAGTTGTTTTGTTTAAAAGTTTTAATTTGGTACAAATAATTTAAGGGTAGTTGCACGTAATGCAGTACTCAAATAATAATGTCGTAATTCAAGAAAAAGTTTTTTTTCGAAATGTTACTCTATTTATTTTGTATTTGTTTTAATCAATTGACGGTAGCGTAAGTTAAGAACTTCGTACATTTTATGTACTTTGTAAGTATGTCAATAAAACTCATCTACAGTGCTTAGAAATAAAAATAAATTAAATTGTGCGTATGAAAGAGTTGCGCAAGCCGCTTACGCCAAAAGCATTTTCAACAATATAAAATGGTAATATGGAACTGAGAACCACTGATTTTAAATATCCTTATTCTAGGCTAAATTATATTTTCGTGAATGTAGGCAAGATTTCCACTCGTTTAGTTCGCAATTCTCTTGGTCTTTTTCTTCTTTTTTGTACTCGATGCACTGGAAATTTGCTCTAACGATGAATAACCCGTCGACGTTGAATCACGGCTTTGTCGATATGTATGAAGGGGCTTTTTGGTCAGCCAGAATCGAATGAAAAAGTAAAACTCCGCTTTTAAAGCAAGCATGGGTAGTATCTAAAATAAATTGGTTGTAAATTGTTTTTCAATGAGTTTAGCCGTGGTCATACCTTTTCCTTCACCGAGATGCGCTGCACATGCCACAAGAACTCGGCTACTCCAATCAAAATTGAAATAATTATGCCCGCGATCAGCACTACAAATAGACCCCCCACGGAATCCATATCAAACTGGCCGTCATCGATGGTCGAGGCATTGTTGTCACACGTGGTTGTATTGTCGTTAAACCATTTGTTCTTTAATGTGTAAAGCACGCCCTTCTCACTGAGCTTGAGAATTCCAACGCTGAGGTTGGAACGAAAGTCAGCATCTGTTAATAAGACATTAAAGTATAGAAAGATCAAAAGAAGAAATGATGTTAGCTTCGGCAATCCAAAGTTTATATACCGTTGCAAATTATTTTCATTAATGTTAGATTTAGATGGGCATAAGGACATGACTAGGATAGTTTTAAATACTTTATGAGGTGAGAAAAGGATCCTTCTACCTGTTAAATTATTTTCAACAAATAAACAAAATCTAAAAAAGAATTTTTAATTTCCAGTTCTTAGACTAGAACTTCTTTCTAAACTTCCTAAACTTAAAAAAACGGTTTGGACTTCAGAATTAATTTGACTACTTACTGAGCGGGACTGCAATACCGTAGTGCTTCTCTCCAAAACTCTCCCCTATCTGGGTAAGCTCGCAGTTTCGCTGAACGTGGTACTGCAGATTGGTGGTCTCCATCAGGAATGCGTAGCCTCCTTTGTTCAGCTTCACGCGGTCCACTCCCTCCTCATTGTTCTTCGTAAAGGCATCCGGCTTAAATGACAACATCTTGTTCCACGCCATCCGATTTTCAGTGTCGTTCGATTCCGAGAAGTAAACAGACGTAGCACCTCCACGGATTGTGCCAAATTGGACCTTGTTTTGGTCAACGAGATTGTGGAGGGAGCGGATGTCGCCAGCAATTTTTGAAGAGGTAATGAATGCAGCCAATTTGGCTATGTAAGTCTGAGAGATAAGCAGAGCGAAGATCCACCAGAAAGCTGTCAGCAAACGCATTGGCAGTCCCCTAATAAAAAAACGTATAAAAAACTACAAAATTCCAACTTAAAGTTCACTTGCCTGGGCAAAAGATCGCAGCCCTGATTGAGTATTGATCCCAACACCAACCACATGGTGTTATTCAGATGCCAGATATTCTCCCGCTCCAGTTCGTGATTCTCATTTTCCACTGGCTGCTCCCACTCATATTGATCTATACGACCGGTAAAAATCAAGGCGTAAGCCGTGATGATCATCGCAATCATTACATACATCCAAACAGCGACTCCATAGGGATTAAGGAAGGCGTAAATATCTGCCTTCGGTGGCGCCTTCTTGTATGATAGAATACTTATCCCCAGCTGCATAAAGGGAACAGTAAAATCTACAACCGTCCGGCGTGCCTGCGTAATGGTCAAGTCACAGATTCCGATTTGTGCATTCTAGGGTAAAATAAAGCAGAGTCAGAGTCAGATTCAGTTAACAAATTTATAATCGAGCATAATCCACAAATAAATATCATATCTAAGACATTTCTTTTGTAACTGCTATATAAAGTTTTGGTTAATTTTCTCTCAATATATCGCTTTACGAAATAAAGGTGATGAAAAAGCAATGAATAAGTGCCTAAGAAATAAGTTGATGAAAAGTGGTAATAAAATGGCGATGAATATGCGTCAATTTCGTGCAGTGATGAATCCCTTAGACATGCTAATGATAAAATCATCGCTATTTTTCATAGAAATCATACTTACGTTATCAATCAATTGCCGTATAATGCCATCCCATTCATCTGTGACAGGATCATAACTCCCATATTTATTATCCTTGACTGGTTCAAAGTTGAAATGGAATTTGCATATCTCTCCCAACTTGTACATTAAATCCACGGCGTATCCCTCGAAACGTTCATTTCCCTCAAAGTGCTGTCCTTCGGGTTCCACGCTAAAAAAAATCTTCTTAGTTATTATTATTTTGTTAGTATTTTAACTTACCGCCAGCTGAAGTACGGTTTGCCAACCCGAGTTGCTACTGTATAACTAACAGGCTTTTGGGAGAAATCCTCTTTGCCCTGAATTCGCCTCTGTTTCAAGGCTTGAGTTGAGTTATCCCTTAACTTGTCATAGTCCACCAGCTGGAATTCCTTGTTCCATATATGAGTTACACGATCAATGAGTGGGTTGTAAACTTCAAGATTAAAATCTTCGCGTTGGCCATCCATATTTATCTGCAGCCTTTGAGTCTTAAAGGGAGGCTTTGCACTTTTAGGGGAAATCTGAAAAACATTGGAAGTCGAAACTAGACCTAAAGAAACTTTCGGGTTGATATATCCTATTGTAATAAAATTGAAATCAAACAAGAAAGGAATACCCTTTCAGGTACATTTAAAAATGAATAATACTAAAATGTTACATTACATTTCGAATTATTTTTCAATTATTTCTACAGCAGCTATTTAATATTATCGCCTAAAATATTACAAAATGCAAAACTTCGCAGATTTTTCTACAACTAAATTCGAAATTTAGAAATACTCAAAAAATTATATTCCCAAGAGTAGATTACTATATTTCGAAAAACACAAAAATTCTAATTTTTGTTCATTTCTATCCATTACTTTTGAGACTGGTTCAATGGAAACTATAGGATTTAACCAGACTAAATCTTGATCGATTGTTAGACGAATGTTAAAAGTCCTTACCATTTTCATTTGTTTTACCAGACGCGGTCCTGGCTGCCAAAAGCCGCGTCCACAGCTTAACTGAGGAATGTAGAATCCAGGTCGCTGACTTATTTCCAAAAGAGCATTGTAGAACAAAACAACCGAATCATATACAAGCTGAGTTAGAAGTGAAGAGAACTTAAAAAGAGTAACTAGAATGAGTCAGAGATTAGATAAAAAATATTCTGCAATCCTACCCTGGTATCAACGTAGTTGTCAAAAACATCAATCTCATCGTGAACTGGCGGAGGAATATAGGTTCTTATCCTGACAGCCGTCACGGCCACAGTAAACTCCCTGGAATAAAATTGATCTATTCCACTCACATGTGTATCCAAGTTCGTTAGAAATAAGTGCTGTGCAGAATAAAAAAATTAATTATCAACATCCAAAGTATAACAAAGCTATTAAAACGCTCACATTAAATGACCCAGTCATATTATATTCAATCGATGCCTTGATTACGTCCACTAAAATATCGGACGGGCAATCCAGAAGAACAAACTTTTCACGAGCGTTGTTTATGCGTTTCCAGAGTATTCGATAGTCATCTCCTCGCTCGAATTCCTGCATCTTGATTCCTGTTTTATGGAGTTGTTTCCATGCTAAGATGTGCTGCAGACGATTGAGGTCTTTGGGGGAAGGGATATGTTAGGATGTCATAGGAATGGTAAAAAGGCATACAACAAACTACTAAGACATTTAGAGCTAGATGATATAGAACATAAAAAAAAGAAACAATTATTGTATCTGTCTTACTTTATTTATTAAACTACATATTTAAGGGGCCTAATTTACTAAATTAAAACAACCGGTAAATTACTATATAAGCAGTTTAGACGTTAATGAATGTATAAGATTAGCATTTGAAATTTTTAAATTTTCATGTTAAAGTATGTGCAAAAAAACAAACGGCAGAGATGGAGACATTAAGGGCCTATGTTGAGTTTATTTCATTGATTCTTCAAGTGATGCTGATCAAGAATATATATATACTTTTTAATAAAAAGTACTTTAATATAAGAACTACTATCTTAATACTGACTATAGTAAAATAAATAAATATAAAATAAATGATTACAGTACATACGAGCACTCTTCTCATAGGCAATCGTAAAGGACCTCCAGTCGAAGCTCTTACTAGACAAAATATCTAGAAAAGCTGAAGACAGGAACAGTTCCATCGGCGCAACATTCACAGTGAGCTGGTGGTTTAGACGCTCCCTGCCCGATTGTTGGGGATGCCAATCGAACTGCATATGCGGTATACCCGTCATGTTACACAGAACTTCGACAATATCTAAAGGTAAACGAGAGAAAGAGAAAATATGGAGAGTGAGCGAGAACGTATGTTTATCCCTAGACTTGTATATTTTTGTTTAGAAAGATCTGGGGAACTACCAAATCACACAACGAAAGTGCCGATCACAACACAAAGAGCACAACACAACAGAAACAAGTGTGGTGGGGATTTTTCTTGGCATGGGTTCAAATTGCCCCAACCACCAGACGCTTTATTTACTGCGAAAATTTTCGATCCAATGCTTTTTAGCCCAATTTCACGACAACTTGTGTGAGAGTGTTTTGGATATTTTGAAGAATCATTAACGAGGTTGACGAGCCTTTAGAAGTTCTCTCAAGACCCGCAGACTCCCCATCTTTCCCGCTCTTTCTCTATTTTTCTTTTATGATTTTTTTACGTACATATATGTATATGCAGCTAGGCATTATTTTATGACGCCGAACCATATGATTCGTTTTAAAAATAATTTAACTAAGGGGTATACAAAGGAAAATGAAACTTACCGCTGTTTGTCTTTGAACTTGGTCCGAAAATAGCAGCCACCCCATTTTCAATCAAGTCACAAGCTAACGGAGTGATATTAAAATGAAAACTGGAGCACTAATCCTATACTAAACAGACTCACAAAGATCTTGCAGAACAATGCTGTCGTCAATAGTTAGATAGCGCTTAACTGTTTCCAATCTGAGAGCGGGATTTATGGCATTCACTTCCTCTACTGCCACACTGAATGCTTCAGCCAACTTCATTTCGGAGTCGAAAAAAATAGCTCCTAAACGAAATCAGTCCATATATTTTGTAAAATGGCCACCGAATCGAACTGAAATTAGTAACCAACCAATTTTTACCACTAAAGTATCTTCATTGGCGCCGCTGCATAAAATCAATGCCAGAAGAGCTAGGAACTGTAGAGCAGACATGCTGTCATCTATACACAGTTTTTATATCTTTTTCTCGAAAAACACTTGGAGAACCCCTCAAGTTAATCGCGCAAACAAAATAATTCCGACAAAAGAACTCGGCCAGATCCGTGAACTGTTCGAAAAGCACTGAGAAAGCTCTTCAATAAACTGAATATTTTGAACCTATGCCTTGGCCGATCTATGCGAGACTTACTACGTCATCGAGAATAAAAACCATTGTGGGTGGAAGGAGCGTAGCGGAGTCTGATTTGTTCTCCGGATTTTCCACTCGCCGGGGAGAGCAGCCATCACATGTCTATAGTCTAGACTCTAGACCATGCAGACACGAGCAGTTGCTGGAAATGGACCAATAAATGAAAACTAAATGTGCTCTAAAATTAGGCAAGCCGGACGCCCCCGCAAACTAGCTAAATAGATGGAAAGTATGCGGGAAGAGACAAAATTTAGTCTAAAGATCGAAAAGTGATATACACAGAAAAATACATTTTATAGTTTAAGAAATTAAGAAATTTATAGAGTCGAAGATGTCGACTTTTCATTAAAATTTTCAGGCGTAAAATATATTCTGGAATTATCCGCCCAAAAAAATAAAAAAATTCTACGATTTTTAAAAACATTTATTTATCGGTTTAAAACTTTAAAAATAATTGAGCTAATATTTCACATAGTTTTAAGAAAAGGTAATTCATAATGGACCATACCAGAATATATTTTCTTTTGACAAATTTTTTACCTTATTACCCTCTCAAAAACTCAATGTCTCGTCCAATATACCCAAATGCGCTTTCTGTGTTCTAAAGTTATTATATATATTTAGCTCGATGTGTAGGCACACACAAATGGTCCATGGATTTCCCCATTTCTTGGACAAGTTTTTTCGAAAATGTCCAAGTGAAATATTTTAAGAACTCCTAACTGATCGTCTTGCTGCGAGTTTTCTCCTTGGAACTGCGCCTGGAACCGGACGAACGCCTCGACGAGGATTTGTCGCTGCTGCTGGAGATCCTCATCGGCTTCTTGCGGACCCAGAATTTAAGGGCAAAGGCGAGCTCCGCCTTGAGAGCCTGCCACGGAGTTACTCGCTCCTCCACTGCCACGTTCTGCACATTCCACAGGAACTCAAAGATGCCCAGGATGACGCCGGTTAGAACGCCACCGGCCAGAACAAGGAAGACGCCGCCCAGCTCAATAATCGACAGCTCGTCACCGTCCACCTCGTGAAAGGTGTCGCAGGTGACATTGTGCTTCTTCCACCACTTGTTCTTCATCTTGTACAACTCGCCCTTTTCGCTCAGCTGGAGGATGTGTACGCTCAGGTTGGTTCGGTAGTCGGCCCCTATATAGGATATTTTAGAAAATCAAAATCAGTATTCATTGCTTCGGAATCCGTATTCACTACTCACCCAAGGGGACGGCCAAACCGTAGTGCTTCTCTCCGATCTGTTCACCAATCTGGGTGAGGTCGCAGTTACGCTCAACGTTGTAGGTCAGACTAGTGGTCTCCATGAGAAAGGCGTACTTGCCACCCTCCTTACGCACCCGAGCCACCCCCTCCTTATTGGTGCTAGTGAAGGCGGAGGGATTGAAGTCCTTCATCTGATTCCAGGCCCGCTGGTAATCGGTCTCATTCGACTCGGAAAAGAACATCGAGGTGCTGCCGCCGCGCATGCTGCCGTAGTGCACTTCGTCCTGGTCGATCAGGTCCTGCAGGCTCGTTATGCTGCTCTGCCACTTGTTGCTGGTCAGGAAGGCGGCCAAGTTGGCCGTGTAGGTGCTGAGCATCATCAGGGCGAAGAACCACCACATTCCCGTGAGAATGCGCATGTGGGGTCCTCTGTAAATGTTATACAATGAATACTAATCAAATTAGCTGCGATTATATTAGTAATATTTTTAGTAAGTAATCTTCGTTTTGTCCATTATATAAAATCAAAGAAAATATTGAATACACAAAGTAAACATGTTCCTGTAAAATCGATATGGCCAACATGCAAAATCCATATCGTTTTTACATGAAATACTTATTTCGACCAGGTCAAATTTACCTGGCCGCATATCAAATTAAAAATGATCTTAAATAATGTAAAATCGATCTACATTTCATATCAGTGTGGTGTAGTAACATTGGTATGATTAATGATTTCTATAAACAATCTCCGACCTTGGCAAAATATCACAACCCTGTTGCATAATAGAGCCCACCATCAGCCAAGTCGAGTTGTTGACATTCCATATATTCTCCAGTTCATCTGGATCCTGAATAGCGGGATTCGGAGGCAACCATTCGCGATGCGAGAGCCTGGAAAAAATGTATTAGGCACATTTAGCACAATTTAGATCCAAACTAGACCCACCTGGCTATAAAAACGAATGCCAGAGTCATGACCAACTGAGCAAAGATCATATAAATCCAGACCTCTTTGGCAAAGGGTTCCAGGAAGGCAAACTGATTCTTTGGTTCCGGCGGACTCTTGTAGTGCAGAATGCTAATGCCCAGCTGCATAAAGGGCACTGTAAAGTCCACCACAGAACGTCGCAGTTGGGTGATTGTCAAGTCACAGACGCCAATTTGGGCATGCTGAGGGAAAAACGGAGAAGATATTCAATCAAGTAGAGTAAAGGTAACTTTTTCGAGGAAACCTACATGGTCTATCAGCTTGCGTATAATCCCATCCCATTGCTTGGTCTCTGGGTTATACTTGCCATTGCCATTCACGATCATGAACTCGTAATCGAACTCCATTTGCTCGGACAGTTTTCTTATCAGATCCACGGCGTAGCCCTCGTACTTATCTCTTCCTCTAAAGTTCTCGTGGTCCTCTCTAAACGGGAGTAAAAAGTTCTAAAGTCTGCGGAAAATCGGCTAAATGGTCCAAACCAACTTCATCATAAAGTAGGGTTCCTCGTAGTGCGTTACCACTGTGTAAACCCTGCGTTGCTCCGAGAAATCCTGAGTGCTGTCGGCACTATCCAGTTCCAGGCTGGTGCGACGTGTCTTGATTCCGTTGTCCGGCGTCCAGATCATCATGGGCTCATTCACGGTCGGTTTGTAGATCTCTAGATTGAAGTGGGTGCGCTGCCCGTTTTCATTCAGCTTCATGTTCTCTGTCTTAAAGGGCGGTTCAACGTCGTCCTCGGAGATCGTCTTCATTTCGTTAACGATAAATGGTCCCAGCATCCAGGGAGCGGAGCTGCCGCAGTGCCGATTGGGTGGGTGAAAGGGCTGCATGGCAGCCATGACATTTCGGGCAGCGCTGGCAAAAAGGACCACGGCATCGAAGATGAGAATGGGCAACATGGTTTGGTTGCCCAATATTTGCTATGGAGCAAAAAAAAATAAAAATTAGATCAAAGTTTGCAAGTCCCTGTGATCCCACTTACATCCACCATGGTAATGCGAGTCTTCTTTCTTTCAAATGGATTCGGATCTACTGTCTTCATCCGTACTGAGGTTATGTTGGCCTTGAAGTCTTCATTATAAATATCCCTCAGTCCCGAACTGTGCGTGTCCAGATGCGTGAGAAACCAGTTCTAGCAATACGTTTCTGATTATTTAACAATTCTTCTTATTTTCATTAAAACAACCTACCCTAAATGGTCCTTGCAGTTTGAAATCCATGGAAATCTTTAGTAACTCCTTTAAGGTTTTCGGCTCACAGTCCAGAATTATCCGCTGCTCGTGAAAGGTCTCGTCAGCTTCCTTCCACAGAATTCGGTAGTCTTCTGCGTAGTCTGCCAAATTTCGGAGCTTGACATAGTCACTGTTGAGAGCTTGAATGTTCATCAGATCCTGCAGACGGGCGAGACCTAAGAAAATAAAATCGGTACTAATATTGAAACATTGTTTTTGAAAAAGTTTTACAGATATTCACACATATTTCAATGGGAAAAAAACTAGAAATATGAGTTTGAAAATATGTAGCAAAAATTAAAAAAAAAAAAGGGTTTTTATTGGACAATAAAAAATTATCCCCATAATAGGATGATCTTAAAGAGAATACATACGTTTTTTTTTTTTAAGTTTTAATTTCTCTATTTTTAATGTTTGATATTCCCAATCCACAGAACAAACTGATTTTCCCACTAAATTTTTTGTAATGAATGTATGATGGGGATAGAAGGTATATTCTAGCTCTTTATACATATCTGCTGTTTATATCAAATATCATATCTCATATCCTAAGCTATCACTTACCCTCTGGCGTCTCATAGATCAAAGTGAAGGTGCGCCACTCGTAGTTGGTTTTGATGATCTCGTAATAGGCTCGCGATAATACGGACAGGGAGGGTGCCACATTGACGGACATCTGATGGTTGAGGTGCTCCTGGCGAGTGGCCTCCAACTTTAGATCGTACTCTATGTGCGGAATGCCGGTCGTGTTTGCGATTTGCGCCACAATATCTGCGATAGAAGGGGGAGAAACCGTCACATCGCGAACATATGTTCTTAGCCTTACCCTCTCTCTATGAAAATTACGTACCACTGGCTGCCTTTGAACTTGGTCCGAAAATAGCCGCAACGCCATTGGAAATCAGCTCACAAGCTACACACGGAAGATGATTTTCCCATAACTTGGTGCTCTATGAACCGAAGATGTTTACTCACTAATCTGCTGCAGAAGAAAACTGTCGTTGGTGGGCATAAAACGTTTGATGGTCACAAAGCGCAGCTCGGCAAACTTGAGATTGTTGACCTCACGAAACGCCTGATCGAAGCTGAGTTCGATATCCTTTTCATTTTCGTAGAAAATTGCACCTTCATAGATGGCAAAGTGTTGTTACTTAGTTGTTACTGATTTTTGGAGAAACATACCCACTGTGATTTCATTGCGACCGTCACCACCAATTGCGAAAGTAGCCTCGAAAAAGGCGATTATAATTATGATGAATGCATAAGTGCTGACTGGACCGAAATGCATTTTTCTGTTCTCCAAATTCTTGTTTACCTCACACGAAACTAATAGAATTTTTTAAATGCAGCAGCCATTTCGTTTCCACTTCTCAACTGCATATGTACAAATCTATATCTACAAAAAAGGCGAACACACACACAAACAAAATTCAAGTTAAATACAAAGTGGTGTGTTCTTGGGAATCTATTTATTCACGCAACGGAAGCACCCAGTCTTGGAGCGCCTCGCACGCCTACTGACTGCCGGATCGACTGGCACGGCACGGCCAAGATCTAATGGGATCTCAACCGGGGCGATCTCTCTCCAGTCTTCAATCGCCAGAGAGTGGGCCTCTCGCGGGACTCTTTGTGGCGCCCTGTCCATGACGTCGACGGCATCAGTCAGTCTGGCCGGCCATTTTTCACTTCCTCGGGTTTTTCCTCTCTATTGTTTTTCCTTTTTGCAATTTCGTGCCAACTTTTATGACGATTGATATAGATCAAAAAAATAGGTTTTTGGATTTCTTAAATGTTTTGGTTGTTCTTCATCGTGAAGTATTATTGTGCGCCATATTTAGCGGAAGTGCAGGGTATTTGGATTGGATATTAAATTTTCTATTAATGTCTAAATTCATCTACAAAAACTAGCCTTTCATATACCAATCACTTTGAATTTGCATCATTTCAATCACATCTTTCGTCGTATGCGATGATCGTATATGACAGTTGATCCGTGTTTCGGTGACTCTATAAATGTGCATAATGGATGCTCTTCGGTTATATACTTTTCAACAGTCAGCAAAGAACCATCGCCCTTGTACAAAAAGCACAAGCCCTTGACAGCGTCCGGGATAATTTTGTAGTTATCCGACTCGTTGTAATAAACCTTGCCATTGTTCCAAGTGATGAAGCTCAGATCCTGCTGACTTGGTTCGAGGCGACGACGGCCTGCGAAAATATCAGCCCAAGGGTGACTTTTGACCACAGCGGTCTTATAACTGCGCAGGCTCTGCTCCATCGATGTAGCCAGACACACTGAAACCCTTGCCATCACGTGTGCTTACGAAGATAATGGTCTAAAAGTAGAGGGAAAAATATTAGCTGATATTCTTTAACTTTTTAGGTCTATACAATCACTATAAAAATAACCCATTGTTGGTAGTCCAACCTGCGAAGATCCGATATTGACGAATGAGAAACCGAGTAAGAGGTATTGAAAAAATTAAATGGATTGCATACCAATATTATAAAAAATCAAATAATTCAAGAAAAAAGTAAGGTGAAAGTAAGTGATGAAGCTCAAGTGATGAAGCTCAGATCCTGCTGACTTGGTTCGAGGCGACGACGGCCTGCGAAAATATCAGCCCAAGGGTGACTTTTGACCACAGCGGTCTTATAACTGCGCAGGCTCTGCTCCATCGATGTAGCCAGACACACTGAAACCCTTGCCATCACGTGTGCTTACGAAGATAATGGTCTAAAAGTAGAGGGAAAAATATTAGCTGATATTCTTTAACTTTTTAGGTCTATACAATCACTATAAAAATAACCCATTGTTGGTAGTCCAACCTGCGAAGATCCGATATTGACGAATGAGAAACCGAGTAAGAGGTATTGAAAAAATTAAATGGATTGCATACCAATATTATAAAAAATCAAATAATTCAAGAAAAAAGTAAGGTGAAAGTAAAAAATTTTAAAAACTTGATCACGGTTTTATTTGTACTCAAAAAGGTTACTCCAAAAACAAGATTTGGAGAGCTAGTTTGTATGCCTCAAATCATAGTTTTATGATCCTGAACTAGATGATGTTAGCCTGGTTTAAACCTTTTTTAGATTATCATTTTTAATTTTTAAACTCTGGCTCTGAAGTTTTCACTACTTTTGGCACTATCCTAAACGCTTAAAAGATATAAAAATATATCCAATATGTCTTACCGAAATCGTTTTCGTTGCATTTGGCTTTTCGCGCTCGGCAAGAGCCATGGTCAGCGGATCGTTAGCGACACTGTGCTCACTAAAATAGAAGAACGTTCCCAGGGGGGAAAAGGGGGCCTCGTTGAACTGGGATGGTGTCATCACAATAGTTCCTACTGCGGATCTCAAGGGAACTAATTGGTGAATTGCCTTGTCGTTGGGGAGATAGCGCCTGTCCTCCGGCTTAATGAACGAATTTAGATAATTATCGTAGGCGCTACCACGCCTTCCATCCATCTTTTTCACTTGCTCTCCGGTTCGAAGTACCGTGGAACCTTGGGGTTTTATCAGCATGTCGGGAAAGTGCAGTCCCGTTCGCTCCATTTCTGCAGCCCTTCTTATAAAAATGTCTGTAGCCGTTCTAGTGTAGTAATGACAGCCAAACAAAATGTAAATAAATATCAGAAATACACACGAAACTCCGGTCAGGGGACACACACACAAAACAATTACACTCAGAAAATAAAACACTCACATTCCGAAGGGCTTTTTCCCGTCCCACACAAAGAGCAAAATCGCGCTCTTGACTGAAGTCCATCCACACACCACATAACATCCTCTTTAAGATGGCCACTCAGGGCAAGAACGTGGACTTCAGCGTTTTGGAGTTCGACAACTACAATGATTATATCACATCGTTCGCCACCGTTAAGGACTACAGATATCTGAGCAATCAGAACACTATCAAGACCATCGTCCAGCTGGGCTACCGCACTACAAAGATCCCCTATACCGCAGAGGAATATGTAAAGAGAGTTGACATAGCCTTGGAGGCTATCAGGCCAAAGACAGCCCACGTGGGTTTGTTTAGCGATCTTATGGCGCCAACAAACCAAGACCCAGTACTTCTGGAATTTAAGTCCCGCGAGCTGCTCAACTTGAACAAGATTCTTTCGGTGAGTCTCACAATTACAGGCTGTCATTCCGTAATGTATTTTATTCTTTTATTCATTATTTTTTATTCATTATTCAAGATAAATTTTAATTTGATATGTGGTCAGGTAAATTTGAAACCCATGTCATGTAAAAACGACATGGGTTTTGCATGACCTGAAATTTACATGACCATATCTATTTTTTATAAAACCTTTTAAAAAAATTTTTTTTTTTTTTAATTAGTGCAGGTTAATTTAATATTTTGAAAGATCAAGATTTTCAATATATTTTCCAATATTTGTTCCAAAAAATACTACATTTGGTATTAAAAAACATTTTTAAAAATTTTTATGAAATAAAAATAAAAATATGAAGTTGATATGTTTGACACATAAATTTGACATTAATCATATCCGCCTTTTATTGGTTTTAAATAAGGTAGAGGGGACCATTAGATTATACTTCCAAAACTTCGAGGAGTTTTAAAAATTTTTTAACAATTTTATATTAGTTTCCTCGTATTAATTCAACATTTGTCTTACAGACCATCGTCTTTACCTCTTACATCCATGCCGACGGTTCGGAGATCTCCGGCTACATTGACCTAGACATGAGCTGGCGCAACTGCTACCGCGAGGCCATGAAGCACACCGACTGGCGGGGAGTTTTTACAGGTCGATCGCGACTGAAGCCCATGCCCCACCACCTTAGCTACTCGAACCCTCGCTATAACGTTGTCAAGTACACCGACAGCGATAACTACCAGGTGATGCACGATCACCACTATGGACTGATGTTCATGCACCGGGGCGATCACAAAATGATTTCGGTGGGCGGCCAATTCAACATGTACTCGAGAAACGCCAAGCGTTCGATGGTTTACTCTCCCAAGTTCGGATATGTTGTCTTCTACGATCACTTTGTGCGCAAGAAGGTCTAGTTTTTTGGGATATAGGTCAAATAAGTCCATATCAAAATTATGTCGGTGATGTGATCATTAAAGTGTAATAGGATTTTAATTTTAGCCAATGAAACAGTCCAAAAATAAACTGTTGAAACTAACGCAAATTTGTATTCTTGGAAAATTATAGAACGTATTACTTTTAATGTATCATTTTAAGTCCTCTCTTATTAAAAATTGATTCTAAGTTATCAGTGTGACAGTGACTAATTTTAAAAAAGTTTAGAAAATAAAATCAACAAAATGCTAGACGAATCCGAACTTAGTTTAAGGTGTCTTTTTTTGTGTGAAAAATAGGTTTAAGGTTATATTTTATTTTTTATCGCGAGTTTTGATAAAAAGATAACGGTCATCAAAGTCTAGTTTTACTGATTTTAGAATGCCCTTAAATGTGTCTTTACACAACGCATACAAAAGCTAACACAATATACAATTTTTTAATCAACTTTACCGAAAAACCAATGACAGGTTTGTGTAGCATTTACTTAATCTTACTTAATTACTTAATCACTGATTTTTGCTCTCTGACACTGACGAATCTCAAGAAATTAAAATATGCTATAAACGGAAAAATGTAAAATTTAAGCATTGCTATAAATCATAATGGAAGACAACACTTTATTGGCACCGCTTCAAGTGGGAGCAAAAACATGCTGCCCAAAGCTCTCAGAACAATTTATATTGTTTAGAATAGGCAGAGCAAAACAAACTGCATTGGGCCCTCTCTCGGGATTTTTTTTCGCTCGCGCGTCTTTAAAATTAGCATAGCTCTGATTGTGTTCTTATTTCACATGCTCATTGCATTGCAGACCTCCGAACATCACAGTTGAAAAACGCGTGAAAATTTTGTCTTCAGGAGCTTTACATCATCAGAAAAAACCATAAAATCAAATCATTTTAATTAAATGGATACATCGAAGTCATAAAATGCAAAATGTATTTGGTATTCCTTACTCAAGTCCTACTGATTGTGTTCCCAGCTGTCGCTGATAGAAATCAGTTTATGGTGGGTAAGTGCTTTGAAATTAGGTCACTGCCTCGACTGCGGATGCAATTTTCGCATATTTTCTAGGCAGCATCTTTACATCAGACAAAGATGAATCGGAAATAGCATTTCGCACAGCGGTGGACCGTGCCAACATAATGGAGAGAAACATAGAGCTTGTTCCAGTTGTGATGTATGCCAACACGGATGACAGTTTCATCATGGAAAAAATGGGTAGGAACCCAGAAAAATTCTGAAAAAAAGTTCTTAACAATCAAAAAAACTCTTTCAGTTTGCAATTTGATTTCTCAAGGAGTAATCGCCATTTTTGGACCCAGTACAGGCAGTAGTTCGGGCAAGTATTTAATGATTTTATTTAATTATTTAATGACATTTAAGTCTAATAACTCCATTGCAGACATAATTGCCTCCATATGCGATACCCTCGATATACCGCACATAGTATATGACTGGATACCCAATGAATCTATACCAGATCGCGAGCACTCTACGATGACTCTTAATGTCCATCCCGATAACCTCTTGTTATCCCAGGGTCTTGCCGAAATTGTGCAGAGCTTTGGCTGGCGTAGTTTTACAGTTGTCTATGAGACTGATAGAGGTAATTACTAAGATCTTAATGCTGTAACGATTCTAATTTTGGGCACAATCCAGAGCTCCAACAACTTCAGGATATTCTGCAAGTCGGTGAGCCGAGCAGCAATCCAACCACAGTAAAACAACTGGGACCGGATGACGATCACAGGCCTTTCCTCAAGGAAATTAAACTTTCCACTGATAACTGCCTGATCCTGAACTGTGCTCCGGATAATCTATTGAAAATATTGCAACAAGCCAATGAGCTGAAAATGTTGGGCGAATATCAGGTTCTTATTAAAACAAAAAAAATTAACAAATTAATTTTTTCAACCCTCTGGTTTTAGAGCGTTTTTATACCGCTACTGGATACCCATTCAATCGACTTTGGTGAACTTTCCGGTGTTGAAGCTAACATAACCTTGGTCCGAATAATGGATCCAACCGATTTCCATGTCAAAAACGTAGTACACGATTGGGAGGAGCGCGAGAAACGCGAGGGGCGTTACTTTAAAGTCGAGCCTGAACGGGTAAAAACTCAGATGATACTGATCAACGATGCCGTTTGGCTCTTTTCTAAGGGACTGACAGAGCTCGGAATTTTCGAAGAGCTCACTGCACCCGAACTGGAATGCAGGCGGAAGAAACCCTGGCCATTTGGCAAACGCATTATTGAATTCATGAAAGCGGTAAGTAATTCAACGAACTGATTTTCTTCTTAATATTAGAATATTTATTAATCAAACTTCCTTAACTCAAATTTCCTTTTAACACGAATGGTTTACCCTAACGTTACAAAAGCTACAACAAAATAATTATGCTAAAGATTATAAGTATTATAATATTTATATATCGGTGACATTTTAACATCTTCACAAACAAATTAAGTTCGAGTCATGAAATTTCAAGTGTTTATCAACTGAATTTTCTTTTAACTCGAATTGTTTATCCTAATGTTGGGATAGCTACAATGGTAGTAGGTTTTAAGTCCATGTGAAATTATGATAAAGATTTTATGTATTATACTTATATATCGGTGAAAGTTCAAGTGTATATCAATTTTATAACTACTCAAAAACGTTTAGAACTATCCGCAAAACATTTATAGTCCAATCCAATAGAAAAATTCCGTGCTTGCCAAGATTTTGATACATTCATTATTAGTACACCAAGTCATTAAATAAAATAGTCGCTGTTTAAACCATTGCTCATAGATGAAACATAAGTTTGTATGGGACTTTTATTTAGAACTTCTCAAATATCATCAAAAGTAATAATAAAATTTGGAAATAGTTTAATATGGTGTGTTATATAATGATCATTTGCGTTTCATAGCGATCCGAGGAAACTTCCACTGGACGAGTGGACTTTAATGAGTATGGTCAGAGGAGCTTCTTCACCCTGCGATTCATGGAATTGAATTCTACCGGCTTTTTGGATTTAGCCACATGGGATCCGGTTAACGGTTTGAATGTGCTGAACGATGACGAGGAGAGCGAAAAGAGAGTGGGCCAAAAGCTGTCCAATAAAACATTTATAGTGTCCTCCCGCCTGGGAGCCCCATTTCTCACCCTGCGAGAGCCGGAGGAAGGGGAAGTCCTAAGGGGTAATGCCCGTTACGAGGGCTACTCCATAGACCTAATCGAGGAAATTGCAAAAATGTTGAATTTCAAGTACGAGTTCCGAATGTCGCCGGATGGAAAGTACGGAGCTCTCAACAAGGTTACCCAGACTTGGGATGGTATCGTGAGACAACTGATCGATGGGGTAAGTAATATTAACTAATGATGTAGCCTCATAATAGTAATTTTCTTATTTTTCCTGTACTTAGAATGCTGATCTTGGAATCTGCGACTTAACGATGACATCTTCCCGTCGCCAGGCAGTTGACTTTACTCCCCCTTTCATGACCCTAGGAATCAGTATATTGTTCTCTAAGCCTCCCACACCACCCACTGATCTGTTCTCATTTCTATCGCCATTCTCCTTGGATGTGTGGATTTACATGGGATCCGCGTATCTCTTCATTTCCCTGCTGCTTTTCGGATTGGCTCGTATGGCGCCCGACGACTGGGAGAATCCTCATCCATGCAAGGAACCCGAGGAGGTGGAGAACATATGGTCTATTATGAACACCACATGGCTTTCGATCGGCTCACTGATGGGACAGGGCTGTGACATTTTGCCAAAGTAAGGGGAGATCTCTCAACCACCGAGTTTCCAATTATAACAATCATTCTCTTTTAGGGCTGCCTCCACCAGATTGGTCACCGGAATGTGGTGGTTCTTCGCTCTGATGATGCTCAACTCCTACACAGCCAACTTGGCGGCCTTTCTAACCAATTCCCGTCAGGGGAACTCCATCAGCAACGCCGAGGATCTGGCGGCCCAGAATAAAATTAAGTACGGCGCGATGGCCGGTGGTTCCACAATGGGTTTCTTTCGGGACTCCAACTTCAGCACATACCAAAAAATGTGGACCGCCATGGAAAGCGCCAGTCCCTCGGTTTTCACAAAAACCAACGATGAGGGCGTCGAAAGGGTACAGAAGGGCAAGAATCTGTATGCCTTCATGATGGAGTCCACCACCTTGGAGTACAATGTGGAGAGGAAGTGCGATCTGGTGCAGATCGGCGGCTGGCTGGACTACAAAAGCTACGGCATTGCTATGCCCTTCAGTGAGTGTTGAGTAAAATCGAAATTCCTTTCCTAAATTAAATTATTAAAGTATAACCGACATCTGATCGTAATCAGTTATAAAACTAATTTCGGTTTTTAGGCGTGTATTTTTTAACGAAGCCACTTTTTCAACTTTGACGAAAGATAACTTCTAAACTAATTAATGGATCTAAATATAAATATAATTTATAAGAAAGTTAAAGGGCATTCTATTACCTGTAAAATGAGTCTTTGATGGCCGAAATCGGTTTATCACAACTCAAGTTAGAAATTAAAAAGGAGTCAAAAACGTTTTTTACACTTAAAAAAAATTGGTACCATACAAAAAATTGCAAGTGTCCTTTTCTTAATCAGAAAGACGTACCTTAACGAAAAAAACGGTTTCCTTAAGTGCGTATTTCATAGATTTTTTTTTTGTAAACTGGTGTTATTGACTTATTATCATATTTTACCTACATATATTTAGATTCTCCTTATCGCAAACAAATCAGCGGGGCAGTCCTAAAGTTGGGAGAACTTGGACAGCTGGCCGAATTGAAACGAAAGTGGTGGAAGGAAATGCATGGCGGAGGAAACTGTGGGAAGAGCGAGGAAGGAGGCGGAGATACCCCCGAACTGGGATTGGAGAACGTGGGCGGTGTGTTCCTGGTGCTGGGACTCGGTTTGTTTGCAGCCATGGTTCTTGGATGTACGGAGTTCCTGTGGAACGTGAAATCAGTGGCCATTGAAGAGAAGGTAATTTCAAATATTTTTAAAATCCCATAATGTACTAAATTATTCAAGTTACACTCAGAAAATGAATCGCCCTGAATTTTAGAAATCCGCCTATGGATTTGCTTCACTGGCGATTTTTTTCTTTAAAATAAAAAAATTTTCTACTGGTAAAGAAAATGTTCTTCAAATTAATCAAAATTTATTAAATTCAAGAAATATTCCAGAAATATAGAAAAAAATCGCCAGTAAAGCAAATCCATAGGCGATTTTCTAAAATTTTTTTTGAGTGTACAAATCGTTCAATTTTTACAGATCTCGCTAAAGGAAGCTTTTAAATCAGAGGCTCTATTTGCGGCTAGTATTTGGATCACCACCAAACCAGTACATACAAGTTCTGGCTCTGGCAGCTCGTCTTCGTCCAGTTCCACTTCAAGTCGCACCAAGCACTCTTCGAAGTCGCAGGGCTTGTCTATGAAAAGCCTCAAGAGCTCAGGCGAACATGACGTAGAAGCATCGGTTCACAACAAGCTGAAGAAAATCGGTTCAATGTTTTCACTAAAATCACAGAAGACAACCACTCCGCCGCCGGAGATTGGCTGGAAACTGGACAAGTCAACGCAAATGGATGAAGTACCAACTCCTGAACCGGAAACCGAACCCGAATTGCTACCGGAGGTCGAGCCAGAGCTTCCGCAACATCGGCATCGTCATCACCATCATCATCATCGCCATCACCACCACCATAATCAAGGAGATCAGGGCCATGACGGAGGAGATCCATCGCATATCGAGTAATGACGTTTGCTTGCAAAATTAAATATCTTTTAGACCTCTATCCACCGATTTTGTTACGCCAATATTAAATACCTTTGATAATATGCATGATTATGATTTTTCCGAAACCTTACATCTCAAATTTCATAAAAAATTCACACAGTTAAGCATTTAAAATAAATTTTTTTAAAGTTTCCTTTTTAAAAATGTTTCAACTTTATTTTTTGCCTATTTTAGTAGCTTTTTTTAAAAAATTCCTTACAAGTTTCTGTTAAATGTAACACTTCTTATCCGACAATATTAATTACTTTTAACAAGTTAATTTATTATTTAAAAAGTATTAAAAAAATAAAAAATAATTATTATAAAATGTCTTTGCTTTTAAACCCTGGCAGGGGGTATTATATTTTTGGTCGGTGGATTGTAACGAAGTGGTGAATATGTTTCCGACCCTATGAAGTATATTATCGGATTGGAGTCGTATTTGTTTAGGTGAAATGTCGACCGTGAGGCCTTCTTCTGTTTCCAAAACAGCTCCGTCGATCCAAAAAGGTCCGTCGAGAAGGGGTTTGCCCTGGTGTTTCCAGTAGTATTTCTCAATTTACAACAAATCCTTCGGAGATGACGATTATGGGTTGGGCGATGCTATGGACCCACATGCTTGTTCATTTGGTGGCCAGAACGACGATCTCCTTGCGAATCTTGAGTGATCTCTCTGTGATTTATCTGTCGGTTAAGAAAAAAATAGTAAAAAAATGTGTTTATTATTTAAATACTTGGCACATATCTTAATATAAAATATAAAAAATTCAGTGCATTCGGCACAATTGTGAAATATTTTATTAAGTAAGGCAGATAAGGCGTTATGATTTTATAGCGTAAAATAAATAAAAAATCGTTCCGAAAACAAATGTAGTACACAGTCGAGAGATTTGACGGAATTCTTCAGAATCACAATGCTATCACGTACATACATACCTTTATGTAGATTTGGGTTTGAGTTATATTTTGCTTTCGCAATCGCTGATACTACAATTGGCATATAGAGCTTTTTCTGGTAATTTCGGTCTGAAGAAAAAGTACTTCAGTAGTTTAGTATTAAGGAACTGCAGAGTAAACTGGCCATTGCTGAAGCTCTAAACAAACTCAACGATGATCTTTTAAAGGAAATAACTGATAAAACAAGAATGGAAGCTACCTTCGGCCAGCCGAAGCTTATATACCCTTGTAGATAAAAGAATACTCACTCGGTGCAGTTCCAGGGATTCCAGATTCAGCGTTTCGATTTATTTCAATTTTGTTTTTAAGTAGTCAAGAATCAAAACGCCTACTTCCTACAAAGTTACAATGAATTTTCTTATATTTGATTGGGAGCCTTAAGATATAGTGGTCCGATCCGGCTGGCTCCGACATATGTACTACCTGCAATAGAAAGAAGACCTTCGGGAAAGTTTCATCGCGATAGCTTTAAAACTGAGAGACTAGTTCGCATAGAAACGGACAGACGGACAGACGGACAGACGGACATGGCTAGATAGACTCGGCTATTGGTGCTGATCAAGAATATATATACTTTATGTGGTCGGAAACGTCTCCTTCACTGCGTTGCAAACATCTGACTGAAATTATAATACCCTCTACAAGGGTATAATGAATACTATTAACAACTTGCAAAGCCAGTTGTCAATTTCCAATTGTCTATTAAATCAGCTAACATATTATGTACATAAGATAAGGAAATAACAGGCACTATTAACAACTTAAATAGTCGATTGGAAGATGAAGAGGATCAATTAAAATAATAATAATGAAACACAAAATTTAATAAAATTATCTTTATTACTATTAGGAAATGTACTAACTTTTAGTAACTTTGCAAAAGTTATCAAAGCTAGTACAGTTACTAATAGTGACAGTAATTTAATAACTATATCTTATATTATACTTATTTTATTTATTCTTCTGCATTTACCAATCGACAATTTAAGTTACTAATAGTGGCTGTCATTACTTTATCTTATGTATTTGTTCTAGAGCTAATTAATGTTATTTGGACAATGGGAATTTGCTAACTGACTTGGCAAGTTGTTTATAGAATCCATTCCATCAGTTGCTTCCTTTATAAGATCATCTTTGAATTTCATTATAACATCAGCAATGGTCAACTTACTGTGCAGTTCCTAGATGGTATTTACCGGAGAAATATTTCTTTCCAGATGTATTTTATGAGATAGCGATTCCTGCAGTCCATTGGAACCGTCAAAGAAATGTAGTTGCAGGACCGAAATCACCAGAAAAAGTACTTAGAAGCCTGATCCATTTTAGTTGATCTGCGAACTGTAGTATCAGCGACTACGAAAAACAAACTGAAATTAAAACCAATTTAATTGTGCTTCTGTCGCCAAGCTCCATAAGTACACATGTATGTAATACATACTATATACAAGTACATATGTGAGAGCTTTGTGATTCTGAAAACCCCCAGACTACATACTACATAAGCTTTTGGAACAATTTCTAATTTCCGCTTCAAATTTAAACCGAAATGTCTTATCAGCCTCACATAATCAAGTTTTTAACATAGGGCACAGTGGTCTGTTTTATTATAAACTGTAAATTTAATATCCCCATTTCCCGTCAAATTGATTCGCGGCTTCGTGGTTTTTTGGGGTTTTTAAGTTTTAATTTTTTATTTGATTTTTTTTTTTTGGTTTGGTAAACGATTTTTTTTTGCTTTACGTACATACATAAGTTAAACATATTGCTAAGTATTTTCATAAAGTTTTTGGATTCAAAATTATTTTAGTAATTACGTTTCCTATTTAAATCATATTTAAAAATATTTTGTATGAATACTTAATATTTCCACAACTACTCTTTTTCTCTATAAATATTTATAATATTTACGACATTTTTTCAAGTTATTTGTTAATTTTTTTGTTGCAAAGCTAGTTTAATACGCTTGTTTTTCTCTCCATTTTAAGGTACATTATTTGTTGCTCTTCTTCCTCGTTCCCTTTTTTTGTTTTTTTTTTTAGCTTCTATCGCAGTTTTTATCCATCCATTTTTAGGTAACTATTCTATACTCTTAGACCTAAATTGATATAATACAAAATTACAGAGGTTGAGTAAAAGCATAGGAGATATTCTGGTTAAACATTAGGACAAAAATAAATTATCAAAATGAGAAAATCAAGCATTTTTTTTAAATTACATACCTTTATATACACAGTATTATACGAAAATGAAAAGTAAATATTCTTAGATTATTTAAATTGAAATACTTTTTAGAAGAGTATTTTTGCCTTCATTTAGATCTAGGGGTACATTTATCATAACTGTTTTTCTGAGGCGATTTTTCTAAGGTAATGTCCTTCGGGGAATTCTCTAAAGTTGCTAGATTATCTGCTGTTTATCAACTATGACCATATCCTTGTGGCAGCGACGGCGTGGTCAATCCTTGGCGGCAATAGCCACGGGCGGAAATTGTCGCTCATCGTAGAGCTTCGTTGGTGTGTCGATGGCATCGCAGAGCTTGCGAAACTTGGCAGAATCTAGGAATGGATTGTTGTTAAATGATTCGTTTGATGGTAATCTCAGTTTGCTCACCTGACATGGCATCCGCCTGGTCACCCTTGAGGATACTCGCATAGCTGTTGTCCTGCATCGGATCCGGATTCTCGATGAGCACACTGGCCGCACAGCTCTTCAGCATCGTCAGCGATGGTTGCGTCACAATCGTGGGATTCGTTGACTTAATCTGCGATCTCAGCACGCTTTCGCTCAGCTGCAACTCGATGATGTCCTCGAGGGCTCCGCGCAGATCGTGAACCGACAGCAGTTTGCAGGCGCCTCCGCGATCCGCCAGGAACTCGTGTACATAGAGGAACCCATCCTCGCAAGCGATCAGCAGGCGAAGCTCCTTTTGGACGCGGGTCAGGGCGCAAATGTGCTTCAGGCCGCCCTGGGCCAGCTGGACCGTGGCAAAGGATCGGTCCTGGGCCAGCACTTCGCTGACTTGCGAGGGCAACAGCAGCGAGGACACCGCCTTCGAGAACATTCCGCCCCAGCTGGAGACAGGCGCCTCCTCAGCTGCTGCCGCTGTGGCTGCTACCGATTCCTTGGTTTCCGTCTTGGCAGCCACATCCGCTGGAATATTAATGATAAATATTAATTGATATAAGAGACACCGCTATAGTCGGGTTGGTGTTCCGACTTTCTAATACCCGTCACTCAGCTAAAGGGAGTGCGAGGGAGATGGATACATTTTTATTGTGCATAACTTTTTAATGAATGGGCCGATTTGAAAAATGTCTTCTACATTTCGATAGGTATAAATATACACAACAAAATTGCATTTACACTTCTCGGAAATCTTTAAAAATCTTTAGTGGGTGATTGTAGGCGTTAGAGGGGGCGTGGCGCTCGGCTGAAATAAACTTGCGCTGCGTAGGAAGCCCAAAAATATGTGTGGGAAATCTCAACCTTCTAGCTTTTGTAGTTACCGAGATCTCAGCGTTCATACGGACGGACAGACAAACGGATAGAATATATATATTATTTATGGGGTCGGCAACGCTTCCTTCTTTCTGTTACATAAAAATTCTGTACTAATTATCCCCTGGGGCAGACAACTCACCTATCGCCTTCAGTTCGGCCGTCTCCACTGCCCGTCCGTCGATCTTGAAGACATGGACCGTCTCCGTGTTGGAGGAGGCGCACAGGAACTCTCCGCTGGCCGAGAAGACCAGGGAGGCGATGCGGACACAGCTAACGCCGCGCCGGAACTCCTGCACCCGCTGGCCATTCTTGACGCAGAAGACCCGGATGACGGTGCCGCGCTCGGAGGCGGTGGCCAGCAGGGAGCCGCTGGGCGAGAAGGCCAGGGCCGAGAGGGGCGTGTCGTGGGCCTTGATGGTCATACCGGTGCGCAGTTTGCTGGCATTGAAGATGCGCAGCTCCCCACTCGTTTGGCAGACGGGGAAGGCCAGGTGCGAGTTGAGGGAGAGGGCGCAGAGGCCCTGCTCGTTGGGCGCTATGTTCTCGATGGAGTGCAGGATCTTCATGTCGCGGATGTCGTGGATGTGTATGCTCTCCGCCAGGCAGACGATGAGCCGCTGACGGTTCATGCGAACGCACAGAATCTCCGAGGGGTAAAAGCAGTTGCAGATGTCCTGCTTCTTCTTGAAGTGCAGCATCTTGAGGCAGTTGGGCTTCTGGGCGGTGACCAGCACCACCAGCGAGCTGTTGAACAGGCGCTCCACTATCCGGATCTGCTCCGTGTTGTCCTTGGAGAAGATCTCCTCCACCTTGTCCTGGCTGGCAATTGAGTACAGTCGCAGGCCAGCGGGACTCAGTACGGAGAGGGATCTGTGAAAGGATTAAAAAATAGTGAGATTAAATAAACGGTCGAAAAAAATCAAGAGATTAAACCATTAAATTTAATTAAAATTTTTTGCAACCTATTATAATACTTATTGTATTTTTATGTCCTCACATTTTGTATTAGTAATTTAAACAATTAGGGTGTTCAATTGCGTTGCAAACGTTGTAAAGTGTAAAAGTGTAAGGCAGTTCCAACAACAATTTCTATACAAAAAAATTTTCAAAAGTAGGCCTTTAAAACTATTTTGTATAGAAATTGTTGTTGGAATTTATATACACTTTTACACTTTACAAAGTTTGCAACGCAATTGAACACCCTAAATATATTTTTCATTCCTGCCTTTCTAAAGTGTGGGTTTCTCGAGTGCCGGCTAACATTTCTCGAACAAATAAAGTCCAAATATACAAATTGTATCTGGTTTTAAAGTTTTTTTGGACTTTGAGAAAGCGGCCCTTTTTATTACATTTTTATATTTTATATCCTTAGATTTTGTATTATAAATTTAAACTACACATTTTTCGTTACAGCCTTTTTAAGTTATTGCCTATAGCTTGAACATTTTTTTTTATAAACAAAACAACATTTAAGCTACCTTTTAAGTACCAATTTAATGCATAAAACTGTTCGCTTTTATACAAATTTATCAGGGACATTTAATAAAAGTTGTTTGCAACTTGTATTTCCTCGTCTGTCCTGTGTTTTTATTTATTATGCAAACCCTTTTTTTTTTTTTAGCAATCTGCGCTTTCTGACGCTTATAAATTAAAACAGTCTGAAATAACTAACTCATATTTAAGATCCTTGCAATTAAAACTAACTATTATTCGCACTTGCAGGATACCCAATCACTTTATTCTCACAAAACAATACGTTCAATTTAACTAAACTATTTAAAAGTAACATTTATTATTCAATTAGCCCTCTCGGGCTTCCAAAAATTGCCGTAGTGGACGGTATTTCACGTCCCCATGGCGGGGTATTGGTTAAAGTTTTCAACTAGCAATAACCGCACCTCAGGAGAACTTCATCGGTTACGGTATTGCCACTGCGCAAAGATAACTAAACTCGGGCATTCGACCTCTGCTCCATGCTGGCGCTGCTAGAAACGGTTGGGAATTATATGCGCACACGCAAGCGAAAATATCTCAAGCAAAGGTGCAGCATGCTTTTGGGCTCCCTATTGCTGCTGTTGTTGTGATTCCAGCTGCACAAATTTATTTGGGGATGTTTTTGAGGGGTGGTTTTCCGCAGAGGGCGAAACTGGACATTGCACAATCAAATTAAGAACATTTTATCAATAACAAAATTTCTCAAAAATAACTATTTTGGGTACAAGTGGCTTTTAGTTGTTGGCCTTTAAAATAAGCAGCATAAACAATTGGAAGGCAACCACTTGTTGATTTAGCAGCTCTCCGAAAATATGATTGGCCTAACAAAAAAAGGAAAACAATTTATAATAATGAAATAGGTCGTTACTTAGGGAAGAAGGCTTGGAGTTTAAGTGAGCTTAAAATCCAAAAAGATATAAATATATAATGAAAATAAAATAAAAAAGTACATAGAAGTAAATAAGTTTTAAAAATTCTTTCCTTGCATGAAGCAACAGGACTTCCATTTATCAACCAGAAACCCGCAAATAAACATTCCTATGATGTTGTTATTTGTTTTTCTATTATGATAGTTTGCCAACAATTTGACAGGTTTAAAATACAACAAAACTCGTATTTTTGGTTTCGCGGAAAAGTATACATATATTTATTATTTAAAATCAATCTGTGCACATATTTAATACTAGCGGGCAAAGCTGTAATGGCATTTGCTTAAAAATAAATATTTTGGACTCTCTGTTTTAAGCTTAGAAATTGTACAATTATTTTGCAGATACTCTTAACATTTCTAACTTTAATTTTATGCAATTCCCTAACTCCGTTTCATTTCCTAGTGTAAAAAATCTTGAGATCAAGCTTTGAACATTTTTCGAATTGCGCCACAGCACTTTGTACTCGGAGCCAATTTCCAGGTTGTAGTTCATCCCATTTCCGATTCCCTTCTCACAGGAGGTCGCTGGGCGACAACTGGGACTCTCCCTCGGCCAGATAGATGTGCATGGCCTTGAGGAGCAGCGCAATGCCCAGCTGCTTCTTCTGTTTCATTGTCCACGACTGGGCGGGTCCGTAGTAGTCGCCGCGTTTTAAGTTCGTCAGGTGCGTCAGGCCCAAGGCGTCTATGATGGAAGCCTCTCGGGTATAGGCATCAATGGGCAGGATGTTGTGAAAGACGTGCAGGCAAACGACTCCATTGCCATGCTGCCAAATGTCTAAAATGCGCTCCAACTTCTGGCTACCCATCTTCGCATCTTTCGGCGGCGGTGAGCGGAAAACATCGGGTTGCAAAGTGCGAAATCCACCTCCTCGTTCCTTATTTTTTTCCCGCTTCTGGTGAAGTCGAGTGTGCTGGCGCATGGCATCGTAGAGATGAGCGTACGGTCGAGAGGATTTGCCCTTGCCCACGTAGAAAATGGAGTCCAGGAAGCGCTGCCACACGGCAAACTCTTCGAGAAAAGCCCTCTCGCCGGGTAAATTCCGCGAGATGCGAGGATCAATCAGCATGTAGATAAAGCTCTGTTTGAGATGACCCTCTCTTAGGTTCTTTTTGGGTATCCCTGACTTGGCAAAATGCGCCGCCGAGGCAGCCTCGTGCGGCAAATATTCGCTGATTCTGGCAAAGTCCTCCGGGGATCGAAGTGTGCGATGCAGCTCCACCGAGTAGCGGATTTGCGCCTCCTGGGCGTGTTTCTGGGCGGCCAGCAGAGCCTCCGTATTCCGCTTGTACTTGATTAGCTGCTTGATGTAAAGCCTTTTTGTTGTCTTTGTTATGGGGCCCACTGGAGCTCCCAGTTGGGTTAGCTCACGGCGCAGGGCATCCGTTTCGTAGTCCAGCGGGAGGGTATGATTTGTGCTTACGGTGCTATCTAAATCTGGTTTTTTCTCCTTGGGAGTTTGTATAATCGGTTCTCTTTTCTCCGCATTCTGCAGAAACTTGGCCTCGTAGAAAACCAAGCCATTCTCGTCATCTGTGTGCACGTAGGCCTCCTTAATCTGCAGGAAGTACTCATCCGAAGCTGCCGCCTCCTCGTCGCCATGGGCCGTGAAGAAACTGTGTTCCGGCTCAGGCTCCACGACCACCGCTTGGGCGACCTGCTCCACTAGCAACTCGAAAACCTGGCGACCGGAGGAGGGAGCATCTTCTGCCAGTTCCCTGGGATTCTCCTCCCCCCGCAGCTGCTGTTGCAGGTGCTGCTCGTAGCTAAAGTTTTCCTGCCCGATTGCCTCGTCTACTAGAGCCTCCACATGCTCGTCGTACTGATGGAGGAGGGATTGGCGGGCCCTAGACCTTTCCACCTTCTCCCGCCAGCTCTCGATGAGCGTTCGGCGCTTTGGCTGGTCGGGATCCTCCGGCTGGTTCTCCCTTTGGCTCTGGATGAGCTGCGTGAGATGAGCTTCGGTGAGGGCGAACAAGTTAACCGATTCCTCATCGGGAAGTGGGGGTATTTGGTTACTTTCCAGCTCCTCCGGCTCGGGAAACTTTGGCTGCGGTCGATGCCGCCTGTGGGTGATGTTTATGTAGTAGGGCGAGGTCACATCGTGGTTGTATCTCTGCTGATTGGGGGTCAGAGCATCGCCCAACTGGGATCTCTGCTTCTGTTTCTTCTGCCGCTGTCGCTGGCGGAAAATGTGATCCCTGAGCAGCTGCAGCACCTCGAAGTGGCACTCCTCGATGGCATAGTGGACGGGCAGCTTGTTCTCCTCGTCGGCCAGATCCGCGCGAGCTCCGCGCTCCAGCAACATCCGCACCAGCTCCGCTCGTCCATAGATGCTAGCAATGTGCAATGCGGTGGTCTGCCCATCGCACAGGGCGTCCACATCGAGATCGGGGCATTCGAGGAACCTCTCCAGGATCCTCTGGGCGAGATCAGCATTCCGCATGCCGCAAACGTAGTGAAGCGGGGACAATCCGCGATCGCAGGGAACAATCCCTGCGTTTATGCTATTCCGCTCCAGCATCGACAGAATGTCCGATTCGTTCTCATCCTCCAGGGCGTCCAGGAGGGTCAGGGCCAGGAAGTTGGCGCGCTGCTCCATCGCTTCGCTGCGTATTGATTTTTACCCATTCACTTGCTAATGCAAACTGCAATCAATTAGCAATTAAATAAGGTAATCTCTCTCCTTCAATGATCAGCACACTGGAAAGTGTAGCTCCAATTTACCCTGTACTCAAATCTGTGATAAGCTCAGCTCAGCAGTTATTCTCTCCATCGCAGGCCATTTATTGGCATAAAAACAATTTATATTTTTAATTTTAATTAAATTTAGCTATCAACCTATCGACTCTTCGATGTTCGATAGTTACTCGATATTTCGATATTTTCTAGTGTGGCCATCTTCTTTAACTTTAAAGTGCTGCCAGATCATTTGCATTTTCAAGCGCCACATTTGAAACCGGTTTTTATGTATGCCAGATTATTATTCCATTTAAAATTTTTGCACATAATTGGCTTAAAAGCACGCTCTATGCGATAAGCTTTTCCACAGTAGCTTGATCTGCGAGAGCGCAACACGTGTTGTTGCTTTTTTTGTGATTTTGCTATTTGTTCGCTTGAAATTGAAACCGAAACTAGTTCCCGCCAAAGGCTAAAATGGGGCCCAAGGTTACCAGGCCCCTCGTTATGCGATAGCGCGTTGAGGTCTCCATTGTTGTTGCCCGTTTCAAGTTGTTATTGTTTTCGCGTTGTTAGTAAACAAACGCAGTGATTAATAACAAAAATAAACGCATACATTGGCGATTTTTTGTTGTTGTATTACATCGGCCAGCGAAAATAAAACATACCATTTTGCACAGCAGTCAAAAGGGCACTTACGGTCGTTTACATTCAAAAATTAAGCTGAATGAGCAATTGCAGGTTATCAAATAAGTAACGACCAACTCAAAAACAATGACGACTCTAACAAAAACAACCTTTATCAGATTACGTTGGAAAAATAAATAATATAACAACGCATATTAAAAGAGTTAAGAATTGGAAAAAAAATATTTTAATATTTGGTCAGGTAAAAAATTTCTATCCGACCAAGAACTTTAATATTAAATATTTTTCAACTATAATACGAAACGGTTTTTTTGTAGACATTTCTTTAACACCCCCTTTTATTATTAAAATTTTAAACCTGTTGTTTTAAAATTGCAATAACTTATACTTATTATTTAACTATCACAGGAAATGCAACGTTTGATAATATTATTTTTTTACGTCCATTCACCCGAGCGGGCTAATTGATTTGTTTCTGATTAGAAATTTCTCTGCTCCCTCCCCACCCCACCCCTTTTTCAAGCAATATTTGCTTCTCTGTTCGAGTTTCTTTGTTCTCTTTTGGCCTATGACGCGCGTCGATCAGCTGCCGATTTTATTACGAATGCTCTTTGATTGTTTATTAATTTTTTCCGATTTTCGCCATAAGTTGTCATATTAGAATAATTTCGTTGCTTTGCCTTCGTTTTAAATGACATCAGCATCAGCTGAGTGAAAATAACGTAACCGTGCAATAGCGAAACTGGTTAATTAAGCTTTGGAACAAAGATTGTGCAGTTACAGTGCTCTCTCTAAAAACGAACACTTAATTATAAAATCTTTCCGTTCATTAAAAAAAAAATTGTTAGCCTTATTTAGATTTTTATAGGAGATACATTTTTTTTCAGTACACCTATTTTGACGGCACTTACATTCAAATACCATTTAAGAACATATTCTATATTCAATAAAAAAAATTAACATTCATATAGTATCGCGACATCAGCTGTTGCGCATAAAACTCGCGATTGTGTGCCATTTTGCAGGCGTGTGGGTGCGCTCAGTACAGTGGCCATCAAATTGAAATTACTGCCATTTATAGGCCAGTGTTGGCCAGCGAGGTTAAACCAGAATTCACCCCCAATTCTTGTTGCACAGTGTAATTGATTCCCTCCCCCGTGAAATTCTCTCCGGGAACGGTATTTTTCGAAATAGATGAATGCATGTCATTGTAATTGGGAACTGCTTGTTTGCATGTCCTAATAAACAAGCATACACATGAATAAATGACGCCAATCCACGCTCACCCACAGACACACTAACTAACTAACGGTTACCCACCGCCCACCTCCCCCACAGCAGCTGTTTTTTGCCTTGTTTACCCGTCTCATTTGTCGATTTTTGTATCTCAATTGTTAGCAGTGGTTTTGCCACTTTTTTTTCATTTTTGCTTCGGTGACCTTCTTGGCTTGGAACCAAGGATTTTGAGCACTATTGTTGCTACTTACGTAAAGTCCTGGTTGAAGTTCATCTGATATGTGGTCATTGTTGCTGGATTTCTTTCCCCCTTCGCTGATTGTATCTATTTATCTCGTTACACTTTCACTGGCCTCTAGATATTTTTGTACACTTTTCGCTATATCTTATTGTGGTGTTCCACCGTTGGAGCACACAAAAAATGAATTCTACGCAGGCAGATGATCAATGCGAATCGATTTGATTGGATTTCGAAAGTTAAATTCGTTTTGTTTGCGTCGTCTTTCTTGATTTGCTGCGAATGTTTTTCTCGTTCTATCTCAACAAATTCCCACTACACACACAGACACAATAATAATTTGCTCTGCTCATTAGAACTGGTTTCGGGAACTGAACTAGCTTTGTTTTGAAAAATACCAAATATACCGTTATATGTATATAACAGAAAAAGTTAGAAGTATTTTTTTGAAACCAAGTTCGCACTATTTCTATAAAACCGTTAGACGAAACATGGCTCGGGATAAATATAGTTGTACTTAAGAATAATTTACTGGCTGTTTTTAGGACAATTGCCTTAAAATTTAACAAAAGTCAGTTTAATGTTAGTTTTCTTCAAAATTACTTGAAAGCACTAATGTTTATACATTTTAATCATTCGTTTTTTACAAAATCCCCTTCTGAGAGTAAAGTAATAATTTTTTCAACATAAACGTTACAAAAATAAATGTTTCTACAGTTTTCCTTGCTCCATAGAATGGAAACCATATTTCATTTTCGATGCATTGCTAACTTCGGAAATAAACCTACAAAATAGCTGTTTTAAGATTCCTATTGGCACGGCTAATGATCCGGGTGAACAATATATCTAACTTTAGTAAAGTACTATTTAAATTTTTCCCTAATTCTTTGGGTTTTTCGATCATTAAATAAAAAAAACAAAAAGTAACTAGCCAATTACATTAAAAATATCTTCACAAGCATTAAAAATGGAAAACTGCAGTGGAATCTGATAATTTTATTTGAATGCGAGAAATATACTGCCAACTAGTTCGCTCACCCATAAAAATACCAGACACCAGTTCCTTCACCACCAACTCGTTCCGGTGACTGTTGCAACCTGCAGTATTTTCGGGCAACGCAAAAACGGGCACACCTAAACTCGCAATAGAAAAAAAATAAAGGCTTTTCTTTTGCTTTAAAATCGGATTTTCGCCTGTAAAAGCGCTGTTTCGCGGCCAGAAATATGCACACTCGACGCCTCGCAGTGCCGTGCAACCAGAGTGCTTGAACTTGGGGCAAATGCCTCGTGCTTTCAGTGCCTATTGTGCGGTTTTGCCAGTGTAGTATACAACCCACGAAAATTTTCACCCGTTCTCGGGACGCATGAAAAATGGCGGCGTCCTCAGCTGCTGCCGCTGCTGCTGCGGCGACCACCAATCCCAATCCCAATCCGATCCCCATTCCGGCGGAGGCGATATCGGAGGAGTGCAAGGATGATGACGCCCTCACCTCCACGCTGCACACGTGCGCCAACGATCCGGACTTTGCGGTCATTTGCGCCTTCCTGCAGAAGTTTGCCAAGGATTTGGGCCTCAATTTGCCGAATTTCAAGCAACTGCAGGAGTGGCTAACAAACAACAACGAAGGTTAGTTAGTGTGTGTTTGTTGGCAAAGAGAGAGAAATAGCATAGATTTGCTAAATTAAATTATACCAGTCGAAATTATTGCTTGGGAACTACGGAAATAGTGTTTTGAAATTGGTCTACCTATACGCTTTTTGTTTGACTTGGTTGCTCTCTCCTTCTTCTGTGTGGTAGTGAGAGCAAAGAGAGAGCGGAAAGCGGAGAGAGCACTACCGTTTGTTTTCTTCTCAGCACAATCAATCAACAAAAACAAATCTGTGAGAGCAGAGAACATAACATTGTTTCTGAATGATCTTCAAATTTTATTTTAAAAGTTTACTTTATGCATACAATTGAAATTTTTTAACACTCAAACAAATTGTGTTCAGTGCTCTATCCAAATAAAAGCTAATTATTAATGGTATTTTTTAAACTTTCGTTAAGGAATAATTTTTTTTTAATCAGAAAGATTTCAAAATTTTTTAAGAATATGTTTTAGTTGCTGACTAGGAACATAATATTGTTTCTAAATGATCCTCAAATTTTATTTTAAAATTTTTCTTTATAAATAAAGTTTAAGTTTTTTAACACGCAAACAAATTGTGCTCAGTTCTAAATAAAAAAAAACTAATTTTGTTAAAGAATTATTTTTTTTAAATTTGAAAGATAGTTCAAATTGTTAAGAATATGTTTTAATTTCCAAAGTTGTTGTTTTTACTAGAAACTCTTTCTAATTGTACCTTGTTTCTAAATAATCCTCAAATTTTATTTTAAAACTTTCTTTTTTTAATTAAAGTTTAATTATTTAACGCACTAACAAGTTGATTTCTATAACAAAAAACTAATTACTTATGGTATTATTTAAACTTTTGTTAAGGAACCTTTTTTTTTAATCCAAAAGATAATGCAAATCGTTAGGAATATGTTTTAATTTCCAAAGTTGATGTTTTTACTAGGAATTCTTGGATTTTATTTGTAGTTTCCTTAACAGCTAATGAAAATATAAATTAAACTTTATTCCATTTCCACTTTGTAAGAACTGAAGATTTATTAAAATATTTCTTAAAATAACTGAAATCCTAATAATAATGAATAACTTATCGTTTCAGTTCCCGAATTGAGGGACCTGCACATAAAGCTGCTGCGGAAAACCCGTAAGACGGTCCACGAGAAGAGCTGGGAGTCGGCGCTCAGCAAGTTCTGCTTCGGCTATTCGGTGCAAGATGCCTGGGAAGTCGAGCGATTCGGGTATAAGAACTCCAGCCTTAAAGTCAAGCTACGAATATTTCGGGTAAGATACGACTTGCTAACTATAAGAAAACCTAGTCTAAAGAACCCTTTATCCCCTTAGGAACTCCTCGAAAGTCAGTTCGAGCGCAATGCCAAGTTTCGCTCCCACATCCTCACTTTAAATGCCGACACCCTACGCTCAGAGCCGATTGGGCGGGATCGGTTGGGCCACGCCTACTGGCTGACCCAGGATGCAGACTGCAATCTGCGTATCTATCAGGAACATCTGGACGAGGAGATCTGGCAAGTGGTGGCCACCAATCGGGAAGAATTCGTCAATCTCATTGCAAGACTGCGTGGAAATGAAGTGGTGCTGCCCTCGAAGGACATCGGCGAGGCGGACGAGGATACCAGCAGCAGCAACAGTTGTCCCGCCAAGCCGCCGCCTCCAGAGGAAAGAGAAGAGGAGGATGAGGAGGGCGAGGAAGATGAGGAGGAGCCCGTGAAAACGGTCCCTAATCTGAAGATTAAATTGCGCTCTCCCGAGCAAGAGGAACAAAAGTCCAAAAGGGTCAAGGTATGTAGGCATAAAATCAAAGCAGAGAGATCAGTATAAATTTCTGATCCCTTTCAGCCACTGCTCATCAGTCAGACCAAGCTGGGTGGTAGCGCCTCGCCGGCCCCAGCCAAAAAGCGGTCCATCGAGGACGTAGACAGCAGTCCCACTGCTTCCCAGGAGGAGCAGCAGAAGAAGCACAGACCCACATTGCTGGATACCAAGCGCATTAAGAAGCCCAGTCGCTACGAGAGCACCAAGGACGAAAACGAAGGAGAGTCTGGAGAAGAAGGGGGGGAGGAGGAAGAAGAAGAGGACGAGGATGATTCTGACTTAGACGAGGGCGAGGAGGAAGAGGACATAGACAGTGCAGCAGCGGATATCGAGGAAGATGACGATGAAGAAGAAGTTGGCGAGGCAATCGAGGATCCAACGATAGTGGTGCGGGGCCAAGGATCAGGACAAGACAATGAGACAATACCCCTTAATTTTATGAGCGATTATCTGGGCAACTTTGACTACGAAGAGGACCTGCAGCTCAGTGAAGCCATTGAAGATCCAGTGCTCAATGTTATAGGCTTCGGATGGGGAGCCGATTGTCTCGTGGGCAATGGAAACAATGGCAATAACGAAGCTCCCGTGGAGGAGACAACTGCGGCGGCGACCTCGGAGCCAAAGGCCACCTTCTTTTTCGGCGAGCCGGGTTGCCTTAAGCTTAGTCCCATGAAGCAAACACCAAAGCCGGAGACGAAACGCAGCATTTTCGACACCCTGAGCGAGGAGCAAACAAATGGAGAGGGCGAAAAGTGCAGGGAGAGCACTCCGCCCAGAAACGGCAGTGCACTGAAGGAAACTCCAGCAGATGGTGAAGCTGCAGCATCTTCAGCTGCAAACGAAGAGCCTAAAAAAATCGCAGAGGCTGAGAAAACTGAAATCTCAAAGGAACAAATCAAAGATAAGGAAATCGAGGAAGTAGCTGAACGGGACATGCAGGAATTCAAAGTAAACGTGATTGAAACGAATGAAAAAATCTCCAAAGGTATTACAAAAACTGAGACATTAGAAAAAGCAGTGCCAAGTCAGAAAGGAGAACTTTCAGTCTTACAAAACCACTCAGACAACGTTGAACAATCCTCATTTAAGAACAAAGATTTATGTGAAATTTTAGAAACAGAAGACAATGTCAAGAAACGTTTGGAAGAAGCAGGCATCAAGGAAAATGGTCCAACTAAAATAGAAGATGATAAACCATCGGTAGCTGATAAGCAGAATTCGAATAAAGATATCAAAACGCTTAGTAAATGCAATGACAAACCTTCAAGTGAAGCAGAGACACCTAAAACTAACCAAAATAATACGAGAACAAAAACTGAACCGGAAACGGTAACACCCGCTAAAGAACCAACGACAAGCGAAGTAGAAATAAAACCTACTACAGACCCCAATAAATCAAAATCTATAATTGAGCCACCTGTAGAAAAAATCGATGATAAAAGCCTTGTGAAAGAAAGCAAAGTTAGCCCAGAAAAGGCTAAAGAAACTGTTGAAAGTGAGCCAGAATCGCATCCTTTGGACAATAAACCCTCCACTTCACCGGAGGATAAGTTAAAATCAAGTAGCGAGGCAATCACAACCTGTAACGAGACTCTTAAAGCCGAAAATGCATCCCCTGCTGAAAATAAGTTAGAGGAAAAAGTACAAAAGGAAGGAAACGAGAAATCATTGAAGGAGGGGGATGTTAAAAACAAAACCGACGCAGTTCCTAAGCCATCATCTACCCTATTAAATCGAAAGAGACGCCTTAATGATGCCCAACCCGCTTTCAGGAACTCCACGTCGGAAAGCGAAGTGCAGGAGGATGAGCCGCAGGATGAAGATCCCACCACAGATGATCTTGATGTGGGAGGCAAGCGCATTAAGATGAGACCCAAGACCTCCAACGTGGAGGCCAGACGAAAGGTAGAGGCTCAGAAGACGCAGATCGAGGAAACTACGTCGTCCAGTGGAGAGGAAGATCCACGCAGTCGTCGCAAGATAATCACGCCGCAGACTAAACAAAAACCAACTCTGGAGGAGATTATTGAAAAGAAGCTGAAGAAAACGACAGAAAAGGAATTGCCTGAAGCAGAGGAGAAAGAGCAAGCAGGTGAAAAGATCACAGAGAAACCACAGACTGCTAGAGAAGCTACACCTCCTAGCAGCTCCTTCAGCCCGCCAAAAAAGTCACCAATTACCAAGCCGCTAAAGAAAAATCTCCTTACCCAATTGCGGCAGGAGGAAAGCGAAGAAGAGGCTATTCCCAGAAAGCGGACGAATAGTGAGACCATCCTGCCTGCTGTATCAGTTCCCAGTGGTCCTCTCGCTCCACCGGAGGAGCGTCATCGCAAGCGTCGCAGCAGTGAAGATGCCAAGGAGTGCTTCTCCAAGGAATCCTCGCCCAGTGAACCGCCGCCCTCCGCCGTCAGCGAGAAGCTAAAGCGCAACAACGAGCAGGACATCGAGGAGGAGGTCGAGGATCCAATAAAAGATTCTTCGCCTCTTGTCAAAAGTCAATCGCCTCCACCGGATAACTCTGCCCGTCGTTCTGGTCGTCGAGGTGGAGCCGCTGTTGTTCACTCCGAGCTTCCTCAGCCCAAAAGAACGCGCGGTGGAGGCAGAGATAAAATCCCGACAGAGGTAAAAGCGGAGGAGGTGAAGGAGGAATCTGATGATGATGATGACGAAGAAGTTACCAACGTAACAGCCAAACTAAAATCGGAAAATATCAAGGAGGATCCCGTTAAAGAAACCCCATCAAAAGAGACGACTCCCGAAAAGGAAGACATCAAGGAGAAAAGCAAGGAGGAGCCCAAGCCAAAGGTTGGCCGGGGACGTGGGCCGCGCAAGAAGCGCGATGTGGACACCACCAATATCATTGAGACCAATGACTCGGAGACGCCAGTACGGCAATCTCGGCGTATTGCCCAGCAGAAGATCAAAGAGGAGGCGGAGCGACGGAAGCAGGAGGAGGTGGCACTGCGCAGCATGAAGCAGGAGCTCAAGAAGAAGAAGAAGGCCGAGAAGGAGGCAGATCCCACAGTTCTGGAGCCCTCTGGCGAGGAATCCGAGTCGGAGGCCAGCGAGGCGGAGGAGGAGGCACGCAGTAAAAAGAAGAAAAAGCTTCCTGGCAAGGATGGGTGGTCTTCCGATTCAGAGGAGCAGCCGGAGAGTGAGGAGGAGGAAGAGGAGCCACCACACTATGAAACGGATCCTGGCTCACCGCTCTTTCGCTCTGACCACGAATTCTCGCCCGAATCCGAGCTGGAGGATGAATCCCAGGTGGTGCCCATGAAGCGGGCGCGCACAGTACGAAAGGAGAACGCCGAAGACCAGGAGGAGGTAAGGATCCTATTTGGATTTGAATGGATTCAATTAATTATTTTTAATTTTTTATGTTTTATATGAATGAATTAATTAGAATTTTTCAGGGACCGAAAATAATCATTATTTGAGATTTTTATTTTAAAAAGTCTACTGTGATATTTTGTTTTAAACGTCAAAAATAACGTTCTTTTTACTCTTGTCCACAAAGTATATACATCAACAAATCTGGAAAGCAAATTAACTGTTATTTGTTCATGTCTATAAAGTGCATAAAAACCAGTTAAATTGTTTATTAAAATATGTAAAATCCTCAGTAGGTCTTTTAAAATAAAAATCCCAAATAATGATTATTTATGGACTTTGATTTTGAGTTTAATAGAATTGAATGAATGAATGGCATGAATTCCGAAATAATTCAAACGACAATTTCTTTTGAAGAAGAAAGGGCCATAATTTTGTGATTAAATCTGCCTAAATTTTATTTACTAAGCGTTTAACATTGATTTGTTAAAAATTTTCCACTTTTTTTTCTCAAAATAAAGCACAAAAAAAGTCTTGCAAATTAAAAAAAATTTTTTTAAAAAATTCATAAAAATGATTCATTCAATTCAAAATGAATTAGAAAAACATTAAATTAAACAAATCAGAAATTTCATGGCATGCTATTGAATGATTGAATGATTCACGCAGGACTCTTTAAACTTTAAAGACAAACACTTATTTATTCAATTTTTTAGGAGGATGCGGAGGAGGCGTGCCAAAAGTGCGGCAAGTCTGACCATCCCGAGTGGATTTTGCTCTGCGACACTCCCGCCTGCAACAAAGGCTACCATTGCTCCTGCCTCTCGCCAGTGCTCTTCTACATCCCGGAAGGCGACTGGCACTGTCCGCCCTGCCAGCAGGAGCAGCTCATAGTCGCTCTAGAGCGCCAGCTGCTGCAGTTTGATACGCTGGTGGCCCAGAAGCAACAGGAACGCATTCTGGCCGAAGAGCGGGCCGAACTAGAGCGACAGGCGGCCACACTGGCGGCAAAGGACGAAAGCTTCAAGAGGGAGAAGGAAGAGGACGATGAAGACGACGACGAGAAGGATGACGAGGCGATCAGCAAGGCGGACAAGGTGAAGAGGCGACGCGGCGATGGACGCAGTAACAGGCGCGCTGCCAAGCGGGGCACCAGACGTCGCCGTGGCAACGATTCCGACTCCAGCAATGGCAAATCTGCAGGCAGTGGCTCCAAATCGGGCTCTGGTTCGGGATCCGGTTCGAGTAGCAGCAACAGCAGCAGCTTCTCGGACTCGGATGATGAACCCATCTACAAGTTGCGCAAGCGTCGGCAGATCAATGTAAGCTATCGGCTCAACGAGTACGATGATCTCATCAATTCGGCCTTAAAGAAGGAGATGGATGAGGTGGCGGGCGCAGGGAATCTGGGTCGCGGCAAGGACATCTCCACCATTATTGAGGCGGACAAGGAGAAGGCACGACAAGAAGACGATCCGCCTGCCGAGGGAGAGGCGCCTGAAAAGAAAATCGACGCGAAAGAGGAACCGAAGACGAAAACCAGCGGCAGCAGCCAGTCATCATCGGAGGATGAGATTCCCCTGAAGCGCAGCAACAAGTTCAAGCAACCCCCGGCCAAGAAAAAGCCCCGCAAACTGACCACTTTGGATGTGAGCAGCGAGGAAGATCATGGCAGCGATGAGGATTTCAAGACATCCAGTTATTCCGATGAGGACACCTCACAGTCCGGATCCGGAGACTCCGACTCAAGTTTGGAGGTGTACCGGCGACCTGGTCGAGGGAAAAAGCAGAGGAAGGCTGCCAGGAGAGCGGCGCGTGAGAGGCGCAAAGATCGAAAATTTGTGGTCGAGGAGAGCGACGAAAGTGAGGAGGAGGATCAGAAGCGAAGGGCTACCAAGCCCAAGAAGAAAAAGAAGGAGGATTCGGACTACACGGAAACCGAAACCGAAGACGATGACAACGAGTTGTCCGAGAACGTGGACAGTGCCGATTTGTGTGACGACACAACTTCCGAGAGCGAGGATGGCAATTGGAAGCCTTCATCCAAAAAGAAAAAGGCGGCGGCCGCTAAGAAATCGAGTTCGTCGGCCGGCATTGCCAGAAAGTCACCCAAGCTGAAGAAGCCTGCCGCCCAGTCGGCGAAAAAGGTGAAGCGACTGGAGTACTCCGATGATGACATCAGCGAGAGCGATCTGGGCGAGGAGGAGGATGAGGACGAGGAGGACGGCGACGGGGCGCCCTTGTCAGGCAAAGGTTCTGGCAAGCAGCCACGTTCCCAGCCGCTAAAATCGAGCGGATCCGCATCGCAGGCAGGCAAGGGGAAAGGAAAGGGAAAGGCCAAGAAAAAGAAGTCTGTATCCTCAGAGGAAGACGAAGGTGCCGCATCGGATGATCGCACTCGCACCCGTGGACGCCGGTACGCCTACATCGAGGATGGTAAGTACATGGCTTTCTGTTATGCAGTTTTCGGAAAATAACACACAATGTAAAAAACTTAAATTTCAAAAACTTAAGTTCAAAAAATGTAAAAGAAGTAAACATAAATAACACACACTTGTCATTTGTGTTATTTACACAGCGTGTTTTTAACACAATGAGTTTTTGACATTAAAGTGTCAGAATTGTATGTTGAATATGTTGAATATATGCATAGAAATGGTAAAACTAACATATAAGATATCCCTTCGACTCGTTCATGTCAGTGAAATGTAAGTTTCATTTGTGTTAATAACACAGTGTGTAAAAAACAAGTCGTGTTAATAACACATTATGTAAAAAACACAAGTGAGCTGTGTGTTTCACATTTTAACACTTGTATTTGACACACAAGTCAACCATTTTGCTCACACTGTAAAATACAATTTTTCATGTTTTTTATGTTAGAAACATAAATAACACACACATGTCATTTATTTACACAGCGTGTTCTTAACACAATTAGTTTTGACATTAAAGTCGTTGTGTTAAAAACACAGTGTGTAAAAAACAAGTCGTGTTTATAACACATTGTGTAAAAAACACAAGTGAGCTGTGTGTGCCAACAATTATGTTTCACATTTTAACACTTTTGTATTTGACACACATGTCAAAAATTTTGCTCACACTGTAAAATACAATTTTTCATGTTTTTAACATGTGTGTCAATATCCGAACCCTGCTGTTAAGTTAAATTTATATGAAAAATATAATACTTATATTTTCTTTCCTCGATCTAGACGACGACAGCTCCGATGGCGGCATTAAACCCGGCGTCCATCGGCCCGACACACCACCCGAGGAGCGTCAGAAGTTCATCCAGCGACAGGAGGAGATCAAGCGTATGCTGGCCGAGAAAAATGCAGAGGGCGCCAAGCTGGCGGCTACACCACGTCTTACGCCCATCAAATCGGGAGCCCCGGTGCCGGAGAAGCGCACACCTGGCAAGGCAGCGGGCGGTGATTCGCTCTCCACGGTGCCGCTCTCAGTGATTCGGCAGGCCAAGGTGCTGGACATCGATTACCTGCAACGCAAGGGCGAGACCATTGGCGATCTGGACGATGTGGATGAGTCGGAGTTGGACGACGCTGAGCTGCCGGACGACTTGCCGGAAGACATGGAGGACGCCATTGCACGAATGGTCGAGGAGGAGGAACAGTTTAGCGCGGCGGTGGCTGCCCGCGAGCTACCTGGAGCAGAGGAAGTTTTGCGCACCACTCCCTCCAAGGCCAAGCAATCTGCAAAGGCAACGACCGAGGCACCAGCTGCCCATCCCGCTCCGAGTGCATCTGGTTTGCAGGAGCCACACCGCAAGCGTCTGCCCATGCCCACCATGCATCCGCCGCTGCTGCGCCATCAGTTCCCGTCGCATCCTCCCGCATCCTTGCTGCCTCCTCACTCTGCTCATGGAATGCATCCAATGCTGCAGCGTCATCTGTCGCAAGCGGTTCCCCCACCGCAGGCCATGCATCTGCTGCAAAACGCCCTCTCCGCTCCTCTTGGTCAACCTCTAAGCTGTGGTAATTATGGTGCAGGACCGGGATCATCTCAACACCTACCTCTGGTCATGTCCATGCCATCGGCAGCGGCGGCAGCAGCTGCTCATCTTATGCAATCGGCGGCCGCAGCGCCTGCAGTTCGTCCACCCGAGACAGCAGCGGGAAATGCAGCGACGGATTCAAAACCTAGAGGCAGACGGAAAAAGGTGACACCCCTGAGGGATCAGTTGCAGAAGCAACAAACGGCGGCGGCTGTTACGGCGGCCACATCCTCATCAACACCGGGCACAGTCACTCCGGAAAAGGTCAAGGGACAGGCGGCGCTCTTTAAGCCGCACGAGGATGCCGCTGCCGCCAGTCCTGCCACTTCGCAAGCCTCTGTGATTACAAGGATGCCGGCGCACCTGCCTCCGCCCCATGGACGAAGTCATGGACCACCGGTGCCTGGTGGAATGTATCCGAGCAGTGCGGAATTGGCCCGATTCTACAGCCAAGTAGCAGCTGGCCAGCAGCCTGGTTCCCGCTCACCTTCAGCGTCGTCGTCCGGACCTCCGAGACACCTGTTGCGGCCGCAGCTTCCGCCCGGTTTGCCACCACCCCACGCCTCCTTGCGACCTACCTATGGACCACCACCGCCGCTACGGGGATCTGTACCGCCCACATCCACGGCCAGCGTGGCTACGCCCAATTCAAGGCCACCTTACCTCCACGGAGCGGAACATCTCGGTGGGCCATCTGGTCCTCCGTTGGGAGGAGTTTTCAGTTCCGGGCCGCCACCAGCGAGACATGCTTCACCTCACTTGAACCCGTACAGGTAAGCTAGTTAATTTTTTATTTTTTAAATTCCTATTAAAACTTTCCTTTTCCACAGAGCACCTCCCATTTATGGCAATCCCAACTACTCGCCCCGCATTGGCGGACCTCCAGGACCGGGAGATATGCGCCCTGGATCTGTTGACTACGCGGCTGGAGCACGTAAGTTGAAGATCATTCCTATTAATTTACACATCGGAAAAATAGTAAATTTCCTATTATTTCTAATTAATTTTCCGATCGTTCCTATGGCAGCTATGTTTTTGATAAAATCGAAATTTGGAAATATTTAAAAAGAGTCATATCCCAAAGTACAAAAGAATAAAATAAAAACCAACGAAGCAATAATTTATTTTCTATTATATTCCCATTAACTTTCCGATTGTTATATGATATAGTCGTCCGATTTTGATAAAATTTAATTCGAAATTCAGAATTAGATAAAAAATGTTATTTCCAAAAGTAGGAGGTTATATGTTAAGCAAGAAAGGAAGCTAGCTTCGGCCAGCCGAAGCTTATATATCCTTGTAGATCATTCCTATTATTACAAATCGCAAAAATGTTAAATTTTCTATTATTTCTCATTAATTTTCCTATCGTTCCTATGGCAGCTATATGATATAGTAGTGCCGATTTCTTCTAAATTCTATTCTATTTAAAAAATAACAGTCTCAAGAGTAGAAGCTAACATTTCAAAAAACTCCGAAGCTAGAATTTTTTTTATGTTTTTTTTCCGATCTTTCCTATGGGAGGTGTAAAAAATAGTTGTCCGATCCGGTCGGTTCCGACTTATTTACTACCTGCAATACAAAGAAGACTTTAGGGAAAGTTTTATCAAAACTGAGAGACTAGTTTGCGTAGAAACGAAAAGACTGACGGACATGGCTAGATCGACTCGTCTAGTCATGCTGATCAAGAATATATATGACTGAAATCATATTACAAAAATATACAATACAAATATACAGCATTCAAATATTGTAAATCCCATATTTGTACATTGCAGGTGGATATTCCCCATATGGCTACTATCCGCCGCCCCCACCGCTGACCACGCCTTCTGCCCATGCAACGCCCAGTTCGGTGATTGTAAGTGCTCCGCCTGCAGGAACGCCCACGAATCATTCGGTCTCCACTCTGACGCATGCGAAGACTCTGGCTCCAGGACCTTCGACCCAGTCGGCTGGTCCACCACCCGCCGCAGCACCGCCACCAGCAATACCCAGCGAAGCCGCTGGCCATAAGGCAGCAGTGACCACCTCTGTGATAACCAGCAAAAAGCTGACCACTCTGGAGGCGTATCCCATCAGAAAATCACCGATTGCTGTAGTGGGCGACGTAACGGGTGCGGCAGAATCAACAAATTCACCGGCTGCCATCGCAGAGGACGATTCGGGATCGGCCCATGACACCAGAGCTCCGCCATCCTCAACGGGAGCTGCTGCCGTGGGCGAGTTTAGTGGCTTGGTAAGCTACTTTAGCTCGCAACAGGATGATTATGACACATAACAAACGCCGCTAAGAAAACTTGTATATATCAATATCTAGAGTTAAAAATGAAATTACATATTAGAAGTAGCAACCTTGGCAATAATTTATCCTTAAAAGCATTGTGTTTAAATTATATTATTATATAAACCTGATCCAAATTCTCTAAAAAGTTGTCCAAGGATACTTTTTTCACTTAATGTTTAATAGAAATTGATTACAAAATTTGGAATTTGTATTTTCGTTAAATTTGTCACTCGGTTTTCTTTTTTTGTACATTTAATTTACTTTGCTTATTTGTGCTCTAACTGATTAGTTAAAACAAACATCAACTACTTCTAGTATTTTAACGTTAGCTGTATATTTTTTGAGCCCTAACAGACTAAGCATAAGTTATATATGATACATACCATTAACATTATGCGAATATAAATAATGATCATAAATAAATGTAGTCAATAAATATAAACTTAATACAATGCAAAAGCTTAATTGCGTAGACCTGTACACAAATTCTAGTTTGAGTTAATTACATTATTAAGAGAATGAAACGATAATGCAGTGCATATTTCAAAAAGAAACCTACGTAACCATTATAATATAAAGCGGAAGATATACTAAAAAATCAAAGATGAACAAACCCTAATGTTCATAATAAAACTATTTATCATTAGTTGCAAACATAGAAAGCCGTTGTTTTTATCACTATTAGTCGTATCTAAACTACTATCTAAATTTATATTCATTTTATTTTTTTAGGCGAATGTATAAGAATTTTTCGTTACCAAATGTTTTTTTAAACCGAATTAAAGCCACAGTTGATTGGTTACAAATTTTATTTATTAAGATGTAATTAAATTTAGGGCAAACTTAATTAAGGTTTTTGTAAAATAATTTTAACCAATCAAACGTGGCTTTAAATCATATTTAAGAAAACGATTTCACCTAAAATCCGATGTCTAGTTATATCATATAGCTATACCTTTTTTAACTTGTTAAACAATTAATTTTGGTAAAACAAGTATTATTTTTAGTGTGAGTCACTTTACCGGAAAACTTAAATAAGTGTAAGGGCCATCAGCGATCAAATTTCAGCCATATTAAAATCTCACACATACTCACCTGTTTTTGAGTGGTCTTGTCGAAGCCTCTTGGCCAAAATTTGCCAACGCGGTTATGGCCTACACCTGAGGTCACCTTTGTATAATCCGCCTTGTTGTTGGAACGATCGCTGATCTCGACTCTCACCAGGCTTTATGGCGCGTAATTTGAATATGTAAAAGCGGTCACCGAAATCGCGCAACTTCGCCCCATTGATCCATTTGCAATTAACAGCGCTTGTGTTTACATTTTAATAATTTTTTTATGATTATTTATTAGCTAAAATCTCAACGGGAACTTTGCGTAACAACAAATATTCAACAACAATGGGCGACGGCACTTGTTAATTTAACAAGTCCTCACCTCGCGAATGGCTGTGGCGCTCCTGGGGATCAACCTGTGGTCCTTTTTAGAAGCGGAAACGCTTGGCGGGCACGTTGTACTGGTAGCCCGACTCCACGGGAGCTGGGGCAGAGTAAACTGGAGCGGGAGCGGGAGCAGAGTAAACTGGAGCAGGAGCAGGTGCAGAGTAGACTGGAGCTGGTGCTGGAGCAGGGATGTCCTGGACAGGGGGCAGGTACTCAGGGGCTGGAGCAGGAGCGGAGTAAACGGGAGCAGGAGCAGGAGCGGAGTAAACGGGAGCTGGTGCTGGAGCAGAGTAGACTGGAGCTGGGGCAGGAGCAGGGATGTCCTGAACGGGGGGCAGGTACTCAGGAACTGGAGCAGGAGCTGAGTAAACGGGAGCTGGTGCAGGAGCAGAGTAAACTGGAGCGGGAGCAGGTGCAGAGTAAACTGGAGCAGGAGCAGGGGCGGAGTAGACTGGAGCGGGAGCAGGAGCTGGGATGTCCTGGACAGGTGGCAGGTACTCAGGGGCTGGAGCAGGTGCAGGAGCGGAGTAAACGGGAGCTGGGGCAGGAGCAGAGTAGACTGGAGCAGGAGCTGGGATGTCCTGGACAGGGGGCAGGTACTCCGAAACGGGAGCAGGTGCCGGAGCAGAGTAAACTGGAGCAGGGGCAGGAGCAGAGTAAACTGGAGCAGGGGCAGGAGCAGAGTAGACTGGAGCTGGAGCAGGAGCCGAGTAAACTGGAGCAGGAGCAGGGGCGGAGTAGACTGGAGCAGGTGCCGGAGCAGAGTAAACTGGAGCCGGGGCAGGGGCAGAGATCACCTCCTGGGCGGGAGGCAGGTAAGCCGGAGCCGGGGCCGAGGGAATGTTGAAGGTCGGCGTGGGCTTGTTGTAGCTGTAGCCACCACCCAGGTTCAGATGGGACACATCGGCGGAGGCCACGGCGATGGCGCACACAGCGAAGACGAAGAGTTTCTGCAAAAGCGGAAATGAATAAAAAATCAGTGGAAGATCGGGATCCGTAACATGGTAACGGTTGGCCAAGGTGAGCGGGGGACCAAGGTCAGCGGCTATCTTGTTGGACAGACAGTGTGTACTCACCATTGTTGTTGATTTGTTGATGGGGCTTTTAAAGTTCGTTGGATTTGCTTTGGTAAGCTCTGGTCGCAAGACGCTCAAGCTGAATGATGACCAACTGCAGATGGGCCGGCACTTTTATACCGAAACCCGGGTTCGGATCCGTCTGCTCTGTTTGGGGCCAAAAAGATTGGGCTCACCTGTCTTCGTGTCTTAGGTCTTCGGTGAGTCTTGCGCTTCTTTCTGTCAATGAAAAGACGGCCAGTTATGAAGAGAGTAAAGCAGTGATCATTAACCCAGCCATGGGTGTTGGGTTGGGCGACCTGAATTATTTAAAGCTTACGTTTGTAAGGGGTTTTCTGTATCAAAAAAAGGTTTATACCATTGACATATTTACTAATATATTCTAGGCAGGGACCGAAAATAATGATTATTTTTTTTGAGTAAAAAATAAAAATCACCATTTAATGATTATTTTGTAAGCGAAAAAAATATCGCTCAGAAATAATGATTATTTTGTGAGCGATATATTTCGCTCAAAAATATCACTCAAAGTGGGATTGCATCCGTCCTACGCGGAATTTAACAAAGATTTAAATGTGCTCTTGTAGGTAGCACAAATTCACATATTCCGTTAAGAAAAAAATAAATTTTCTTTGTATAAACCGCTAAAAAAAACAAAAAAAACTTTTTGTATAAAAACACTTTCTGTGGGAATCGAACTCGTGCTTACAGCTCGGTGGACCAACACACTATCACCCAGCCCACATGTCGGGTTGGATCTAAGTGGAATAGTTCATAACATCTTGTTAAGTCGTTTTACTAATAAATAAATGACATAAAGTTCTAAGGTTGATACAACTTTTTGTATTTAAGCATACCTCTTGTCAATTAAAAACCGCGTTTTAAAAAGTTTATACAAAGAAATCACCTTCTTTTATTAACTCGATGGTTGCTCCTTAGTTCTACCTACAAGCAGAAATTTAAAAGTTTGTAAAATTCCGTACAGAACGGCTGCAATCGCACTTTGAGTGATATTTTTAAGTGAAATAATATCGCTCACATAATAATCATTATTTCTGAGCGATATTTTTTTCGCTTACAAAATAATCATTAAATGGAGATTTTTATTTTTTCTCTTATAATGATTAATTTTATTATTAAAAAATTGTACATCCTACCTATGACACATATGTGTATCCACTTTACGTTGCCCATCAGTGGGTTAAGACCGGGTAACCGCTCATCGTTATCGGGAGATTTGACTGGGTTTGGCAATGTCAATAGGGCAGGCTGGCCGCGAACACAGCCGATCGGATTGAGAGGACGGGACACGCCAACACTCATTTGCATGCGAGACAGCTGGCCACGCAGCAATTTAAGGGCCTCCGCCGGCTAATGTCAGAGGTCAACCAAAACTGATATACGCTGCCGCTGCAGTTAGCGGAAATTAGTTTTGTTTGACTATTAGCCGGTGCTAATGGCTAAACTACATGCTTGACCAAGCGCTCAAGGATGTCCAGCTCGTCTTTAGCCTTAGTGAACATATAAGTGGGGAAATCGAAAGATGTACCCATGTATGGATGTATACTTTTTCTGTTAATCAGGTAACCTTTAATTATAGGTTGCACGTAAATCACCAAAGTTGTAGATCAATCGTTTTTTTAAGGGCTTCATATTTATTTTCAATAGTTTATTTTGCTTCGTATTCTTCATGTATTTTGGTAAGGGCCTTTTTGCCACTTTTTGCTCAACAGTGAGGTGGCACTTTTCCTACTTTTTGACATATCTTTTTGATCAGACTTATATCACCGCTACTAAAGCGATCAAAAACTGAGAGAAAATGTTATGATTTTGATATTGGCATATGAATTTCCATAATTTTAAATTCTTTATAATTAATTAACAAATTACTTACTTTTATATTTTTAAATGTATCGGAGTTTTATAAATAAAACAAACATTAAAGTAATTCTTTTATAAGAAGACTTTAAAAAAAAAAAAAAAATAACCTTAAATTAATAAAACAAAAAATAGATAAATAAGTAATCTGTTAAGAAATGAATTGTAACTTAATATGTCAAAGATGTAAACTTTTTTTTTTACTCTGCACGACCTTCAGATGTCTTTGTGCTTTGTTTATTGTTGTATTTACTAATCGAACCCCCTTCGTATTGTTAAATTTCTAATGCATAAATGCAGCATCTGAAAGCATATTTCTCTTAAAGCGAAAACTATTCATGAGGTATCGCGAATTTGCTTAGCCTACTTTAAACAGCCAATATCATATATATTTTTTTTTACGAAAAAGAAGAAGCAGATGGCCAGCAGAAGAGGCGTAATCCGTTTTAATTATGCCGTTTAAAAAAAGTCACACAGCAACAAATATCCAATTTGACCAAAATGACTTGGCTTGCATAAAAATGTATTTTTGTCGATACTTTCTGCCCAGGTCTCACTTAATTAACCAATTAGCTAACCATATTCAACGAAAAATAAAAGTAAAACATTCAATTTATGCACGGCAAACATACGCCAATTTTGTTTGTTGTATGGCCAAGAATGCTTTGTTTATCTAAAAATATAAAAAAACAGAGGGTTGCAGACTCTTCACATTATCATATATGCGCAATTTATCATTTTAATATTGCCCAATAAATAAATGTAAATCTAGTGGCCGACCGAAGCTTGATATCGTTGACTCTAATTAGTTGCGTCTACCAAATATTTAAGCTAAGCTTAAATGGGAGCTTTTTGGCGAGGGAACCGAGCGCAGATATTAATGTCTTTATTTCCCAAGCTAACAGCAGCCATGAAGTGTAATAAATCCAATAAAATATTCTCTTCAAAATGATTTAAACCGAAATTAATTTGGAGTATGATTTAGTTTTATTAATAATAAGTTTAATTAAATGGGTCGCAAAATTTAAAATGTCGAAAGAAATATGTTTTTTTTATTCCAGCAATATCTCGGAACCTGTAGGTCGCCTTATGGGAGTTTTATTTAGGAGCACAAAATATCAAGTACAATTAGTTTTTATGCAACTTAATAGGGTTTGATTTTGATGTCTTTTGATTCTTAATTTTCTTAATTTCTTTAATGGCCTCATTTCCGAATTGTTGACATATTTGCTGTTCATACTTAAAATAATGCAAGTATTAAAGAAGAAAAGGGAGTGCGAGTGTTATTGCTTACAACCTTTTAATGAATTATCAGAATTTACCCATATTTGGATGGGTATATTGGAATTTATGACACTAGAGAATGATGGATCACAAAAAAGAAACCAAGTCAATTGTTTATAGAAAACTTTTTATACCCTTGCAGAGAGTATTATAATTTTGGTCAGAAGTTTGTAACGCAGTGAAGGAGACGTTTCCGACCCCATAAAGTATATATATTCTTGATCAGGATCAATAGGGGAGTCGATATAGCCATGTCCGTCTGTCCGTCTGACCGTCTGTCCGTCTGACCGTCTGTCCGTCTGACCGTCTGACCGTCTGACCGTCTGTCCGTCTGTCCGTCTGTCCGTCTGTCCGTCTGTATGTCTGTTTCAATACCGTTTGCGAGCTCAGTTTAAAAGCTAGCGCCTTGAAACTTTCACAGTCGCACAGTGGGGCGAAAAAGCCAAAAGTCTGCCTTAAATCAGCGGAGCCCTATAGCGAATGGGGCATTCTTAAAGGCAATTAAATATGTAAAAAAACATCATAAGGTGAATTTTTTTAGTGACATTTTTTTGTTGTAGAAAATTTTTAAGAAAAAACATTTTTTTTTTTTTTAAGAAAAAAAATATAAATAAATTAGTTATAGGGTTCTAAGTTTTCCAATATTTTTTTTTAATTTAACTTGATTTTTGAAAAAAAAAAGTATTCAAATCGGTTAACTATATCTTATAGCTGCCATATAAACGCTTATTACAAAGGGGAATGTCTCGGTTCTATTTCAATATTGGTTCATATAAATTGGGATTAAGGCAGTATTTATCATTTTAGCTCTAAGCTTACCTTTTTTTTAATTGGTCAATGATATCTTATAGATGTCATAGAATCAATCAAGGAAATATAGCACATTTTCAAAAAAAAACTGGTAGAAACCGGTATTTATGAACAGATATGAACTGTATTTTTAGTAAAATAACATAATTTAAAATTTTAAACCCAAATTTGTTTATTAATTTATCATTATCTTCATCAATACCTTCACATAAGTAAAATATTTTCATGATGTTAAGGCGCGCGGATAACCAGGGCTGTCGATATTTCAAATTAAGAACATTTCTTGCTAACTTAAACTGCGGTTTTCTCAGAAGAGGCACAAAAGGGCAGGCTAATTTTTTCAGAAAATGTAGTTAAATCTAGGGTGTAACACTACTTTACGTCCAAGAATATCCAAAAAATCCCAATTTTTTTGAACCCTTTAAAAAAAAAAAAAAAAAATAGTAATTATGTATCTAAAATTTTTATTGTTTTTTTAATTTTTTAAGAATTGGATGCTCTTAAAATTTCAATCGTTACATATACAACTTAGGCCCTTGGGCGCTTTCAGAAAAATTTCAAAGATGTGTAAAAATACCTTTTTTTCTTATTGGCTAAAATTATGTTTCGAAAAATCCACTTTATAAATCTGTATTGGGAGAACCATTCATCACAGATCACTCTTTCCTTTTGATTTGTATAGAGAATTCAATTGTTTTTAAAGTTGCATTGCAACATTTTGGAAAATCTTAAAAAAAAAAAAACATTTTGGCGGGCTTTTTGTTCTAGGCGCCCCACAGTGAGTCGTCCTAAAACATGTGAGCTATACCTTATAGCTCCCATAGGAACAATAGGGTGGAATCGGTAAAAATTTAACGTTTTTCAGGATATTTCGCGCAGAATATAAGCTATTGACATGAAACTTTCCAAATCTTATTATTTTATGCATACCTTCACTAGGGTAAAAGCGCGTGCCGATCGGGCGTCTATATCCTATAGCTCCCATAGGAACAATAGGGTGAAAAATGTTTCAATTTTATTTTTTTCAATTATAAAATATTTTGTTTGTTTTTTGTCAAGTTTTCATTCGTAAAATCTGCAAGCTTCGGCTTGCCGAAGTTAGCTTCCGTCCTCGTTTTTATACATTTTACTTATATTTTGTCTTGCTCAACCAATTTAGGTTTTAATTTAAAACCGTACAGGTACATAGCTACAACTCAACGAACTTAGGAAATGTAGCCTTTTTAACATTTTAGTGACTGTTAATTCGTAAAATCTCAAACAAAAAAACACCAAGACGAGCTCCAATTTAAATTTACCTTCGAAATGAACCAAACACGCTTAATTATAATTATAAAATATGTTATATTTACATTTTTCCAGATTTGCAATGCTAGGCCGGTAACGTCTTTGCGCCTGAACTTTGAATTTCAAGATTGATCAACGTGTGAAACTTTTTTGACCGTTCTTAGATGGTTGTAGATGGCGTGTTAACAAAAGTGGACTTAACAGCCTCTCCCATATAGATGGCCCATTATGGGTCGTCTCCCTGCTAACCCCTAACCAAGTTCACAACCATTAATGGAATCTTTAGAAAATGTATTCCCACCACACTCTTATAAAAAAGAGTGGCCAGTTCGCGCTTTTGCGCCGACGACAAATAAATGGTGTATAAGTGGGAAACCTTTTTCTGCGTTTTCAGAAAAAGCACACCCGACCACACTCTTTTTTTGTCAACAAAACAAACATTTTGCTTTTTCGTCGCGGGTGGACTGTTGTGGGATCGCATGCGCTGCGAGCGTTCTGTGAGTGAAAAAGAGTGGCCAGCTCGCGCTTTTGCGCCGCCGACAATTGCCGTGTAATTAAATCCGTGAATAAATGGTAGATAAATCGGAAACCTTTTTCTGCAGTCAGCAGAACGGGAGAGCGGAGGAGTTTTCGTGTCGCGTCATCTCGCTCGCACCGCAAAGGTCGTTCGTTGCTGCGTGTGTGGGCGTGTGTATGTGTGTGTTTTTGGCGGAGGGTGGGGGAAAGTGCAGAGTACAAGCATATCAAACCGTGCACAAAGGCATTGATTAAGTTTTTAAGCTGCAGAAGCCAAGCCAAGCAAATGTTAATACGCGCAAACTAGAAGAATAACGAGTGACTGGAGCGCGCAATAAGATAAAATTGAAGGTTATTCTTTGTGCGTGTGTGAGTGTGCCATTGTAAACAAAAAAGCAAGTGTTGTGTGCTGAGCGGGGGGAGGGGCAGAGAGAAGGAGAAAGAGAGGAGAGGGTGAGAGCGCAGAGACTGGTGAGCGAGAGCGAGAGAGCGCACGCTCGCTGTCACGAAGAAAGCAGCGCACAAAGCGAACGCTGAAAATGTCAATAAACTCTGCGAAAGGTGAGGAAAAACGCAACAAGAGTGCCGCCGTCGTGTAAAATAAAACCCAAGACTCGAAGAAAGCCGCAGAAAGAGGCAAGTGCAGAGCAGAACAACTCGTGCGTGTGTGAGTGTATGTGGGAGAGAGGAGAGAGTCGAGTGCGAGTGTGTGTGTTGGTTCTGATTGGACGGTGTGTGCAGAAAAGTCTTTCTGGTTTCGATTCGCTTGCAACAGTTTCCGCGTTTGCAGCTCCAACAAGTTTCGTCGTCGCTTTTTTTCGCGGCTGCATTTTGTTTATTTTATTGTCAATTTGCTGCCTTTCCTCGTCGCTCGTTAACCCACACAAGTGCGCTCGCCTCGCCGCTGGATGAGTAATTTACCGTTAATAATTCACAGGTGAAAAATCCAATGTTTGTCGTGCAATAATTTCCTCGATTGCCATCGAGTCGCTTCCAGTCGGGAAAATACATAGTTTACAAGAAAAGTCATATACACATTACATTAATACGCATGCAAATTAAACAAAGTTTCAAGTAAAATGTGACAAAACTAAAATGTGAATCCAACCAAACAAGACCAACTGAAATCCCAACTGGCTTTTGGGTTTCAAATCTTATCAACGCAGCAACGGAAATCCATAAAAATCTTGATAGACTGAAAAAAGGGACAATTGGAATACTTTTATTTTTAAATGGTAAGATCAATTCGCTTTCTTAAAAATTAAGTTTAAGTAAATCATTAAACTATACCAAGCACTGAAAGAAATGGAAAAAGGTTTTCGCTCATGGGTTTATGCTTTAAAAATAAAAATAGTAGGACCAGCTTAAGAGTAAAAGGTTTGTCTTGTTATTTTTTTTTATTCATGAAAATATGGTTTTTTTTTTTTTAATATATATGTGGCGTATACAGAATTTTGTTGTGGGGGATTTGAGAACAAATTTTTGGTGGCATACTTTTTGAATACCCGATTTCCTTTCATTTTTCAACGGTTGGTATGGTGAACCGAGGTTCACACAGTAGATCAATTCAAGAAAAGCACTTCACCCACACCACCGAAAAACGTTTCGAGCCCCTGAAATCAAAACAAATTAATTAACACCCCAATCTGCGGAAATATCGGAAAGGGGACTCAGTGGTGACTGACGAAGTGACTGGTCGACCAGCCACTTCAATTCATAAGCAGTGAAATGTAACGGCGCCGTTGGCCACTTGAACTACTTTCATATGGTGGAGGCTTTGTACCCGAACCCGAATTTGGACCCCAACTTGGATGACTCATTCATTGGACATAATACTCGGATCAAGCTCCCGAACCCAAAAACGCATTTCTTTAGGAAACCTAAAATAATTAATTTAAGTTTAAAATATTTCCTATAGAAACTTTTTATAATCGATACATATTAAAAATTTCCAAATATTGGTATTGGAATATTTTTATATTTTTCATAAACAGATTTTCGAAAAAAAACTTTTATTCGGTCATCCAGACCTTGTCGTAACGTGACTTTTTTCTCTCAGTACAGCCTACCGGAAATTGTTTCGACAACGATTCGAAGAAAATGAGAGCAGAGACTGGGCTCGATCAGGGAGTAGAGTATCCGAGGAGGATTGTTGGCTGGGTAAGGCAATTCATGTCTCTGAATAATATGGCCCAGGCACGTTTTGAACTCTACCACTCTACCACACATTTCGTTGTGCCGAGGCCGAGTCTTTTGCTCTTTCTGCTTTCGCGTGAGGCTTGACCCAGAAAAATCGAAGACTCGCCAATTCTGCGGCTGGCTATGCTGCTGATGAGGCTGAGGTTGGGCCAAACTTTGGGCTTTCGAGGAGCTGAGCCGCAGAAGGGGCTGTCTCATAAACCATTTTAAATGTCGGGCTCATTATTATTTTGACTGCGTCGGCTTGCGGTTTTTGTGTTTATTGGCTGTTCTTACTCTGCTCTTCGGCTGCATTTTCAACTCTTTTCATTTTGAAACCTGGGCTTATGAACGGCCATTTCCGAAGGTTAACCGCGAGTTTTGTAAGTTGATTGGCTCCGGTTTGTCCACCGCGTATGATGCTTGTTTATATTCTTGAACTCTTTTTAAATATGTGCGGGGCCTCAAAGGTTAATTTACAGCTTTCGTTGTCGTAACTTATGAATAAGTCGCAGATCTGGTCCACCTTAATACGGTTTTTAAAATATAATGGACCAGGAGACTCTCTGAACTATTCCTTAAGAAAACATTTGACTCCTTCAGAGATCATAATTTGTCTAGCCATATCTTATGTCGATCTTGAACTGCCACAACTTAACTATTTTTCGTTCGTCAGTTGGGTGCCAGCTGTTAACCGGTTCTTAAACATGCCTTCGGGTGTACCAACCGCCACTGGTTGCCCCCTTGCCATCCCACCTCCTCCCACTTGCAATACATAAATTAATACATGCTCGTCGACGTCCGCCCGATTCTCTCCCTGGCTTTGACTCTGACTGCTAATTAGCAGTTAACAATTGCAACATTGACCTCCTCACCATAATTCTTTTTCGTTTTTCTAGCTCGCGAACTACGAGAATATCGAGAATGCTTTTTGCTTTGTTCCATTGTCTAAGGCGAAAGATCCAACCAAAAGATACAATAACATGGCGGCAGGTTTACCTTGCTGTAACCTCGCCAAGAACTCCAGGTGAAAAGGCTGAAGAAGAAAAGAACACAACCCAGCTAAAGTTATTCTGGCTCTAAGAGCAGGAGAAAGAGAAAAAAAGTTAGATTTTCTACCGCTCCATTTGTTGGCAACATAGTTGCTTGCCATTCTTACGGTTCTTTAGTATTTCTTATTGTAAATAAATTGAATGCTTCAAAATATTCAGTGAGAGTAAAATAATAAACCAACGAAGAATTAGTTTATTCTCCTATAGGAAATATAGGAACTAATTTATTGATATATATTAATCGTCCAAAGCTAATAATATAGTCATCAGATTTTCATAAAAATTAATCGGGAAAGTATCTGCCCGATAGCTTCAAAACTGTGAGACTAAACAGACGGACGGACAGACAGACGGACGGACAGACAGACGGACGGACAGACAGACGGACGGACAGACAGACGGACGGACAGACATACGGACGGACGGACAGACATACGGACGGACGGAGGGACGAACAGACGGACGGACATACGGACTCGCAAGGGTATAATGAAAACAAATAATAGGGAAATAATAGAAACATCGCATTTTTCTGGAAACTCAAAAATAAATTATAAAATATCGGATGAACGAAATGTCTAGCTGCATTAAGCGGTTTTAACTACCAGGGTATATACACTCCGGTTTGCCGAAACTTCATAGCTTCGGTTCTCGTTTTAACTTGCAGTTTTTGGCCAGTTGCAGTTGGTTGTCGTTGCCGTTGCCCTCTCGCTGTTTTTGTGCCATTTTGTTTGATTTTTGCAACTGGCAACTTTACCGATTGCCATAACTGTGCAGTCGTTGGTTCGGTTGCCGTTGTATGTTAGCTTTGTCGTTTTTTTTTGTTTTGTCTATACGTGTCTATATAAACATGATCACTTTGCCCGATTTCTTGTCTTGGCTCGGCACTTTTCAGTTGATGGTGGTAGGTGACGCGGGGCCATAGAAAAATACGAAAAACATGTTGCCTAAATGTTGTTGCTGCTGCAGTTGCATTTGCAGCAACTTACTGTTGTTGTTGTCGATGGTTGTGCAACAATTGGAAGCATTTTTGGGCTGCAGTTGAACTTTTGTTGAAACCTGAAAAGGAATGTATGTACGTAAGAGTCTTTGATACGTTTTAAATTGCTGATCGAGCAGATTAAAATACCTGCAATATTTTTATCCGAAAATAAGAGAATGAATAAAATATAATACTTTGTATTTTAGTTCAAATACTTTAATATCTCACTACAGATATGGTTGCATACCATTTTAAAATGCGTTGTAAATGGTTATAGGATCATTTTTGAAAATGTACCAATGATAAATAATATTTGGATTCAAAATAATTATTTTTCCGATTCCCCATTTATTTACTATACTTTTCCTGTGTTTTGAAAAAAATGTTCTTCACATAATTTTTATTCATTCCATTTTTAGACTAATTTTAAATAGAAATTTAAATTTAAATTGCCGTACCACACCTACATAATCTTTCACGACTCTTTATAACATATCAACAGACTCGGGAGAATGTGTCAGTCACTTAATTAAGGAGAAAATCAGCGCAAAGTCTGCAGAATGCGGAGTTGAAAAGGAATTTTCTTGTTTATTTATAACGCTGAAGGTCAGCTAATAAATCCCCGAACGCAACGCTAAAGGAGCTCAAAACAATCAGGGCCCGAACAGCCGAAATTTATGACCATTAGCGATTTTAATTTATGCAAAGAACAGAGAATAACTCGATGATGAATAAGAAGAAGCTGCCGGCTTCGATCTGCTTGCCTGGTGGGATCAGGCTCAACTTGACTAGGGTTTGGAAACAAGAAATCGATAAAAATCTCATCAAATTAAGGCAAAACGATAAAAATTGATTGGCGCATGGCTCCAGACAAACGCCCCATATCTTGGCTTCAGCTCCAACTCGATTTACAGCCCCAACCTAGGCTTCTCGACTGGCAAGACGGCTTGAGAGTTTCTACCGTGAATCCGTGAAAAAACCAGTCAATAAAGTTTGCCGAGAAACTATTCTAATGCGACGTAGAGGCTGGCAAAGTCGGGGCTAAGGAAACTTCGAACCGTTCTGGGGATCTTCTCCGTCCATTTTACTGTCGTTTTTGCTTCGCCAACTACTTTTCGTCTGATGACTAATCACTTATGTATTGCTACGATCCATCGACTGGCCTCCGAGGTTCTGGGATCGGAGAATTTCGCGGGATTTTAGATTATAATGTTTTGAGGAAGGGTGTAGAAAAGCTCTCTACTACACTCATAAAAATAATTTTCTACATTTTAGAAAATCGCCCTAAAAAAATTTTCGCCGTTGAACTGAGAAAAATTTTCTATTTTCATGACAAATTTGCCATAAACTCAAGGCAGGTGACCATAAAAAAATCTTTTTAGGGTTAATTTTTCTATTTTTCTAATATTTAGGGCGATTTTTTTCGACTTGCTTCGTTTTGACCTTTTCTAAATCCAACGGCGAATTGCCCTAATTTTTTTTCTAAAATTTTTCTAAATACAAGGCGATTTGCCTTAAAAATCACTCCAAAAGTGTGAAATTCGGTAGCCCAGCGGTCTAATCACTTGCGCTTTCAACTTTGCTATATGAGGACTAAGGTCGTGGGGTTGTGGGTTCGAACCCTGTGTGATTCAACTTGATTTTTGTTTTTTTTTTTCTGTAAACATTATAATACCAAGGACATTTTTTCGTCCGAATTTTAAATTAAAGTAGTCTTTAAACCTTAAAAACGTATGGGAGTTCTGAGTTAGAAGCATACTTTGTGTTTGCGGGCAAGAAAACGGGACTAATTGTCACAGTCGTCAGGAAAAAAATATACGGTTTAGTTGCCCTTAGTCATATTATAACGTAGACCTCAATAAAATAAGATGTGTGCAGAGTTTGTTCGTCGTCTTGCGCGATGGGTCTGTGGTGCAGCGGTAGGACGTTAGACTCTAAACCGAGAGGTCGTGGGTTCGATTCTCGCAATGACCAAAAAAAGTAAGTTGTTTTTTCTCCTCATATTTATTTCCCTAATTCATTT